GAATATTTCCAAAATTCCCCACCTTAACTTCCCATGGAAAGTTTCCGGAAATTTACCGGAAATGTTCTGCTCCTTTGCAACCCTAGATATAATCAAGGTTTTACTTGTGTAATAAATACATTTGTATTTAGCAGTGATCGCTTGTGATACCACTATTTCAAACACTTAAGTTGACCATGAATAAATGCACTAAAAAACATGTTACCTCAGAAAATAGTATAGTATAGTATAAAAGTATAGTATTCTACTAATTGATTAAGTATAGTATTCTACTAATTAAAGTCCTCCAGTAATCTCCTCTGCAGCCAAACAATTGACGAACAGAAATAAATCTAATGGCTGACTGAAAGCTTCCATTTAAACCACAGATATATGCTGAAGAACAGCTTTTATAGTTTTACATGTTAAATTGATTTTAGCTTGAGTGGTGTGAAGGACAGAGCGACAAACCATTAGGGTGTTTGACGTATGGGCGGCACTGTGGTACAGCGGTTAGCATGGTTGCCTCGGTCAAGGTTCTGGGTTTGAACTGGCTGAGACCTCTGTGTGTAGGTTAACTGGTGACTCTGACTTGCCCGTTGGTGTGAATGTGAGTGTGAATAGTTGTTATATGTCAGCCCTGTGGCAACACGTCCAACTCACCTCTCGCTCAATGTCAGCTGTGATTGGCTCTAGCCTCTCTGCAGCCCTCAAAGGACAAGTGATATAGTGAATGAATGATTGAAGGTTGAAATTGAAAGCTTATGTTTGTCCTCCAGGACCGCGCCCCTTACCCTCCCAACAGGCGGACAGCGACCACGACTCTGACTGTGGACGTCCTGGATGGAGACGACCTGGGACCCATGTTCCTCCCTTGCGTGCTGGTGAACAATACCCGCGACTGCAACCCCATCACCTACCACGTTGCTATCCCAGAATTCACTGAACCGGTAGGTACACGTGCAAGTGCGGACACAGGTTTATATTGACAGATTTCATTCTTTGATATATAATAATATGCACGTTTTTCTTGAGGGCCTATGTGCATTGTCCATGTCCTTTTCAGATTTGTGATTAATTTGTGCTACATTTCTGTTAAATCACCTAATTGTCTGCCTACACCTTGTTTTGCCTCCACACCTGGATGGCGAGTAAACTTTGCAGTTTTGTCGCAGCTTTTCAGTTCCAGTGGCATTTTCTGGTCCATTGACTGGAACTTCGAGCTGGAGGCTGAATTGACCTGGGATATCGACGAAACAGAGAGAAAGAGAGAAAAAGAGGCAGATTACATTGATTTATTCATAGTTTATCTTTCTTCAGAAAAGTATAGTAAATACCCTGTGCATCTCTGTGCATTAAAGGATTGAGATTAGGATACATTGTAGTGAACTGTGCTGAATTATTGATTTTGACTTGGCCAGAGTCAAGTAAACAATCTCACTTCATTGTTCATTTAGCTGCTGTTCCAGAGTGCACCTTCGTGACTTCTTATTCATGTTAGTAAAAAATACAATGCCGATTTTCTTCATTTTGGAAACAGCAGTCCAAACAAAGGCACCACTCTGTCGCTGGTTTTTCGGTGCTTCCTGCCCTATAGCCGCAGTTCTCGACAGCTGTCTCGGACATACGAGACTATTGGATTAAACTGCATTGAATTGGATTGGGCCGGAGTCATCTGGATTGAATTTGATTGGATTTAGAGACTGGGCTGCATTGGTGTCAGCAAAGTGTCCTCTGAGCGGAAACGGCTCTGAATCTCAGCATTTCTGTCTGGAGTTTGCACGTTTCCCCCGTCATCATCTGAGCACTCCATCAATTAGAAACTCTAAACTCTCAAAAAAAATGTGAACGTGCTTGCCTGTGTTGTAGCTCTTGGCTGTGGTGGTTAAGACTTGAATTGAACTGTCGAGTAAAATAATCTGTTCTTCTAATGAGTGAAATTGTGTAGTTATTCATTTTTTGGCCGCCAAACCAACTTATAGTTTCATTACTGCCGCCAACTCGGGTGTGATAAAATTATGGGATACACATGGCTGGGAATAGTGCTTTGAGAGTAGTATTGGGAAAAGCATGCATCAAGTGTACTGGGGTGTTTCAAACATGGAAGCAGAACTGAATTGAACGTAATTGCACACAAAGAGATGAAATAAAAGGCCTGCTGCAGAGAAACAATGGAAGCTGTTTGGATTGAATTAGAAAGTCAAATGCTATTATGTTATTAGAGAAAGACAGAGCGACCAAATCTGTACATTTACTGTACAGGAACAGTTGGAGATGTTTGGGATTGTCCGGAGTTTCTGCTCACAGTTTGCCGATGTGATTCATAATTTAAGATAAAAGGTTTGCAGACTGATACGTATGCAGGGCCTGGGAGCTCCTGCTACACAAATCAAAGCTGGTTCATCAGTGTGAAAAAATATTGGTTTTTCTCCCTCTTCTTTTTCCTTCAATTTACACTGATATTAATATATTCTTTTACTGTATCTGTATTACTCCAGAATGTCTCTTTATTACATTATGTTGTTTTTCTGGAATAGCTCAAGTGTATGTCAGCCCATCATAAACTTTTTACCTCCTATTCTTTTCCTTTTAAACCTTTTATTTATTTTTATATTTTAGAAGTGGTCTACATTTGCTTTGTAATTTCCAGTCAGTTGTGTCAGTTTTTGCTGGTCTGTAATTTGTTTCCATTCTGCTGTGTAACCATTCTTCTAACATATCTGTCCGAGGGGAGATTTGCCTTCTCATAATTGATGAGTGTATTGTAATTAATCACAATGGCAAGACAGGCATTATTAAGTTGATCTGTATTTATTTTTTACCCTGTGGGGATATAATGTGGGCTCTGGAGTCCCCTGGATAATGACTGCTGGAGGAGGGTATTATAGCTAATCATCATTGTGCAGAGCCAGGGGGATTTGATTTAGCGCACCTCCAGACATTGTAAAAAGCGAGAGGGCTGGTTGGGGAGGGGTGTAAGGATTACTCCAGAGCGGAGGGATATAAATATACCCCCTCAGGGAGGGATTCTTCCTGCCAGAGAGCTGTTAGCCATGTGTCTGTCTTAACCAAGGAAGTTTAGCACAGGCCTCTTAGCATACTCACACGTACTGTATTAGCCATATGGAGGCATTTTGCATGAGGAGAGGATTTCTTAAATGTGATGTGCTAGACATATTAGCCATATGTCAATGCAACGTGTAGAGGCAGAGCCGGGTAATTAGTGCTGATGATGTCGGAGTATGCATGACCAGGAAAAGTAGCCTACGGCAACACAAACACATAATCCCTGATGTGCAGCTCTATTAGCCGTGTTTAGAAGCATGTTGATGAGAAATCGATCCAGCGCTGGCATATAAATACCCTTATAATTGGCCAGTGTGCAGTGGATTATAACTGCGAAGGCACTGATCTACATCAAGAACTATGTATTTATTGTTTTACAAGTCCCTCAAGCCCCAATATTCAGCCTTTTTTAAATATACTGCAATGACTCTTGTTGATTCAGACTTTTATCAGAAGTTGCCTTTGACATATGTACAACACAGCAGGAGATTCTGTGATAAGACACTTTCACTACTACTGAAAAATCTCTTTAGAATTCACATGAGAGGTGTTTCAGGAGATTGGACTTGGGGTGTTAATTCCACTGTGGTTATCACATGATCATGCCCTGTATCACTAAAAAATTGTATATGTCTGCTGATACTCAAATTCTGTTCTTTTCTAGTTGACATCTTGGTTAATGTCTTCAACGAGTATGAAATGAGAGACAGGAGGACATTATTATAGGGAGGAATATCAGCAGGTGAAGCTGTGACCATGACTTTGATCACAGATGCTCCTCTCATCCCTTTAAGAGCAGAAAATAGTTTAATGGGCCAAAAGGAGAGGCCCGGGGCAGCTTCTCTAGAGAATTGTGTTTTTATTTGGAGGAGCAGAGTTGCAGTTAATGTGCAACTCAAATAAAAAATAAAAAAAAACAGTGAAGCACACAAAATACTTTCCGGGGCAGATCCTTTTTTAAGAGGATAAATTGGAAATAGCTATTTTCGTGGATAATCTGGGTAAATCTTCAGTCAACAAGTAAAAAACATTTGCATCTGCTTGTTTTACTGCGTTGATCGACTCCCCCCTCCACCTGTTGCAGAGCAAACTCAACCCTCTGAATGTCACCCCACCGATCCGAGCTGTGGACATGGACAGAAACATACAGCCTCCATCAGACAGGCCTGGCATTCATTACTTCATCCTGGTTGGTAGGTTCATCACGATCTCTCCGCTGATTTTTACACATTTAATGTTGATTCAGTTTGTATGCGTTTGATGAAGAGTTTGATGTTCTTAAATTGTATCATAAAATGCACTGAATGGGTGACTGTTGTTCTCCTTACTGCAGGTCATCCAAACACATATCCAGAGTATTTCTCCCTGAACAGAACCACTGCAGAGCTGCGTGTTCTTCAGCCAATCAGCAGGGACCTCTATCAACGCTTCACACTCATCATCAAGGTAAACAGTGACTAACAAAACAGAATCAGTACCACAGAACTTGGTGGAAGGATTCAGGAAGAACCCTTTAAGTTTTGGTGTGGACACAGGGATTTTTTAATCACTGTAACATTGCGAGATAAATCATTTTCAGATTTCCTAGAGAATAATTCATTGATCATGATGAGGAATCAGGCATGATTAGGGGACTGAGTGTGTGTATCTTTAAATGTGTGAAATGTCGGATTGTTGGGCCTTGGTGGAGATATGGGATCTACTGAGTGACATTCTAGTTTTGTCATAGATTTACTGTGTGACTTTATTGAACCTAAACCAACAACAAAGAAGACTGTTGCAAAGATGTGCTTAGTCCTGCAAGGCTGGTGGGAAAAAAAAAAAAATCTTATGAGACTGATTGTCAGAGTTTCACCCAATGTAGAATATTGATCATTCTTCTGCCTTCCCATCTGCAAACACTGAAGTTTAATCTTTGTACAATTTTTAATACACATTCAAGTTTAACTCATATCTGGAAAAACGTAAGCTTCACCCAGATACCCTCAGTCCTGAAGACCATTAACCTTATCTGTAGCTGCTCTGGAGAAGGGGTCGAAAAGATATTGTGATTTATGGACTTAGCAGCAGGATGGGCTGCTGCTCTCTCATGAATCCTAATTTAGAGCCAGGTATTGCTTCCGCGCTGCCGCTGGTGGAGAGCAGCAGTGCAGACGAACTTTCCATCCACCCGTCACTAAATTGTAGACACCTCTGAGCACTGTGTAACCTGCTGTTTACCAGGATGGCTGGGGAGCAGAGAGACGAGCTGATTTCCTCAAGAGGAGGGGGGGTGATCATACGAGCTTCATTTTGCATGTCTTGGAGAGGATTGTGAAAAACTAGAGGACAGTTCAAAGGTGGAGGGGGGCAGGAAAAGACCAAGATAGATATAGCAATGTGTATAGAGGATGGTAGGGAGCCTTATCTACCTCAGTTATAAAGAGGAGGAGGATCATGCTCCGGGACTCAGAGGAGGAGGAAAGTGAGAATTAGACTTTGGTATCTGGAGCTCTCTGATGCAGCACAGTATGTGGTCTACATAGCTAATGCTTTAGGAGATATAAAGCTAATGGTGGAACGAGCTGCGGCATTTCCAGCATATTTATATTTTTTGAAAACACATCTGTTCCTGTTCGAAAGTCATCACTGATCTTGATGGTTTCCAGCAAGATGGTGAGGATGAAATGAAGACAAGTGGCAAAGGCAGGCGGCGATGGAGAAAAATCCTGTGGCTAACTAAAAAAGAAAGCATAGAGATGCAGTATGACACTTTAAGGATGATGTGGCTACCGCAGGAGAATCAAGACTGAGTGATAAACAGTGACTTTTGGTAGCAGTGAATTTTCCTGCAGGCTTGTGTGTCGTAGCAGCGGAGCACAGGTCATTTATTCATCGGGGAACACTGTAATCCTACACCTGCTCTTTTTCTCTTTCTATGTCGAGAAAAAGCAAGAACATCCAAGCACACAAACGCACACACACTTACACTTTGTCTGTCAATGACAGCACTTTTCCCTCGGGTGTTAGACTGAACAGATTGCATCTGTGGGTCAGCGCAGTGTGGTTGTTCTTTATTATCGCACAGATAACAGGAAAAAGGTAGATGATGTTTGGGACAGATAGGCTGGCGGAACATTGTGAGGGCACTGGCAATAAAAAGAAGCAGGTGTGAACCTCAGCTGGAGTGAATCACAGCTAGGATGCTGACACAGTGTGTAGCAGGGTTCTGCAGTCATGTGGTGCACACACAAGACAATGAACAAGACGTCAAGTTTCTAGTTGCCTGCATTTAAATATTTTACAGCAGAACCATATTCTTCTATTACAATCAACATTCTGCAACACAAGCTCAGCGAAGACGAGCTAATGTGCAGAATTTGTTCCAGGTCATGGCTGACGCTGATGTGGCCTCACTCCCCCTCTCCATCTGTATTTTCAAAGCCACAATGTCTCTGAAGTCTCCCTGTGTGGGAGGCAGTAGCGACATATGTGCTTAGGAGGGGAAAAAGCTCAGTGACAGTCTGACCAGGCTGCAGCCATCTGGCGTGGTCTCACTGTGCAGTGGTAGAAAGACTCAACTTGGGTTCAAGTGTGACTAGGTTTTAGCAAATATTGAACCACTGAGAAAACAATTCCACATTCAACATTTCCATTTGAGGATGTGCACCATGTATTCCAAGCAGCCGTGTCACCCACCAACTGTGCTGGAAAACAAGGGGAAAGAATATTTAAATTCTGGTGACTGTGCAGTACAGTTGAGTTGGTGTTTAAACTGTCACACAAATAGAAAGAGATTTTTGGAGGCAGGTGAGTCAATATTTCATGCATGCAATTTTTTAGAGCTCTGGGGATTTATGTGTAATCTGTATTGTAACATTTACTATGTCTAGTTCCACTTCAGGATGTTGTAATATTTTATAGATTACCAATGTCATCATGTTGAAGAGATCATGCAGTAGGAATGGATGATTTTCTTCAGAGAATATTGCAGGTTTTCTCAAGGCTTACTTGATTCAGCCACTCTTACTTAACTATTTATCCCCTCTGGTTGTCTTGAGCAGACGTGCGAGTTGATATTTAAATGAGTTTTGTTCCATTGCTGGATGCTGCATGTCTGTTTTTCAGTGGAGGATATTTTCATGCTGAAGAAATGAAGAGGTGTCAAGTGGGATTTCTTCATATAAAAGAGTGCTGTGGTTTCTTCTGGAGCTTTCAGGGGAAAATATAGACACTGTAAAATCAGATGAGTTTGCTCAATAAGCAGTGGAAAACTGAGAGCATGAGCTAAGAAATTTAAAGTGGTTACTTTGACTCAGCTCGTAATATTTCAATTGAACCTCCTTCAATCATCAACTGCTAATTACAACCCATATCCTAGAAATGAAAGTATGTGCTTTAAGTTTCCAGGTAATAACTGAGGCCTAATCCTAAGTAAATTCAAACAGCCACTGACCTTCAGGTTAATGGAAGACCCACTCTACCAACTGATCCCCCCAGTGGACCCCTGATTAAATTTAGTCAATACCTTTTTTGTGATTTAACCTTTATGTCTGTGTGTTTTCATAGTAGTTGTAAGTGTTCTGTATTTTATATAGAACCTTTCGGACCACTAAAAGAACTTCACCCATTCACACACACGCACACACACACACACACACACATTCATACATATTGTGCATCTATGTGCAGAACTTTCTCAGAACTGTCTCATATCGACTGCCAGCAAAGCTTACAGTTTGGGGTTCAGTATTTTGTCCTGGGACACTTCAGCACACAGAAATGAGGAGTTGGGGATTAAACTTCAAACCTTATGGTCACTGGTTCAACCTTCTCCTCCTCCTTATTTAAAGCCCCCTTAACTCTGAGTGTACTACATCATTCTACTAATTATTAGTACTGCTTAGTACCATACACTGGACTTAAAGGTTCAGTGTGTAGAATTTTGATAGTGTTGAAGTTGCATGTTGCAGCTGAACACCCCTCACCTCACCCTCTCCTTCCAAACATGAAAAAGAAACTGTGGAAGCCTTCAGCTGTCATAAAAAGGTGTTTCATTTGTCCAGTCTGGACTAATGTAAAAAACATGGCGGCCTCCGTAAAGAGAGGACCATCCCCCCGATGTAAATATAAAGTATTTAAATATAAAGAGCCTTTTCNGGTCCCCTCAATGTAAATATAAAGTATGTGAATGTAAAGGGCCTTTTCTGGGGTAAAGAAAACTACAATTTATACAATTTAGATGAAACAAATGACTGAAAACCACATGAGGATTATTCTACATTAAATTTCTGCCAATAGATCCTTTCACCTAAATCTTACACACTGGACCTTTAGGTTTTATACAGTAAATATAGAGAGACTGACTCTGACTTTTTCTCCTATGCCCTTTTTCCAGGCTGAACAGGACAACGGTCACCCCCTCCCAGCCTACGCTGACCTCATTATCGAAATCCTGGATGAGAACAACCAGGCTCCATACTTCCAGTTTGCCACCTATCAGGGCTACGTGAGTGAGTCCTCCCCTGTGGGTACGACTATCTCAGCCAGTGCCAACCTCACTGCCCCGCTGGGAGTCATCGCTCTGGATAATGACATTGAGGAGGTAGAGAGAGAGAGAGAGTTTATCAGTCTGTGCTCACTGCTGCCTACACTTTACACATGTCCACCCATGCATGTGTGCATATAAACACGCAAGCTAGTTCATTGATTTTACATTGATTAAATACCCACATTTATTCGGATCGTTTGTTCTGTTAATGAGGCTTTTCCCTGCTGTATTTTCTTCCTTGTTGTAGCTGGCTCCTGGTGAAACACCTGTAGGTAAAGGGGTTGTTTTCGTATGCTGTGACATACACACACACACACACACACACACACACACACACACTGTACTATAGGGATGTCCAGATCAAGTTTTTGGCTCTAAATCTCACATTTGAGTTTTTTTAATTATATATCTGCTGATACTAGGTTCAATCCAATATTTATATTTTCCTGCATAATACAGCTGCACTGTGCACACTTAAAAGCTTATACTAGGCCTACGTTAATATCAGTAAAAGATATAATTTCAGGGTGATGGCTTAATAGCTCTGCATTAACGCTGCATCGTTAACTGGTTTCTTAAAATATTTGTTTAGTGTTTTTGGAGAGAGAAGAGTCAGAGTGTGGAGTTGCTGCAGGAGGGTTTGAACAGGATTTAGATGAATTCTCTTCAACTCCACTTCCAACAAAAAGCTATGGATTAAAATGCATTTGTTTTCTTTCATTTGTTCGGTGTACCTTAAAGTTTCCAGCAGTGGCACACTGTCAATATGGGTATCCCTCATTGAAACTAATGTTTCAACTAATCTTCCACTATGACACTGCAGTGTTTTGAAATGGCTTTGACAGCTGCCCTCCCTGGAGCGCAATAAATTACAATCAACAAACATTCAGAAGTGGAGAGGTTTATATAGTTGATACTGATCTGTTTTAAAAAGCTTCGATTCCCCTGCTGCAACATGACTCAGGGCCTCCCTACTGTTAGAGTTTGCATCGCATTGTGAAAAGTAAAAGCCAAACTCAGAGCACTCATCACAGCTGGAGATATCTGCAACATAGAATTATCAACTTTGGAACTATATTTTGGGAAGCTAAATTATTTTTGACCTTTTTCATTGTTGTCACAACCGGACAAATTATATGTTTTCTCTCCCTTTTCAAAATTTCATAAACGTTGAATTGAATACTGAGCAGGTCTCCGGTAATGATGGGTGTCTCCATAGACTAATTTAACTGATGCACTGATTTTTCTGCCCTGACGGGAGGGTGTGTGTGTGTTTTGCAGTGCTGCGTCTCTATTTGCAGATGATTGTTTTTTGCTGTGTTTTTCTTCAGTTGCATGAGACAAAAAAATATGCAATTATTCTCTTTGACCACAAACTTTTCTCTCAAAAGCAGTTTTTCTTTCATGAATAGATTCTTGTGTGTGTTACCCAGTCTTCGGAGAAGATTAACAAATCAAAGAGGAGTGGAAACAGAGATAACAAAATCAATAAGCCACCCAGTCATGATGTTTACCGAAACCCTCCTAAGAGGACTCATTGATGGACGTGAATCGAAACGATGGACTACAATGGACTCTGGGTTTATTTGCTACACAGTCTGACCGCAGCAGTGATGATACATCTTTTGCTGATGGCTCTTTTTAAAAGATGCTTTCAAGCTTGTTTAACATCTGGATACCCAGAACCAAAGCCACCAAATGCCTACTTGTTTTTTTTAAGTTAATGCACTCACATAACAGGAGCAAAGGCAATTATGGGTCTGTGTTGTTTTGGCAGAGAATGTTTCCTCCATTTCTGTCTTTAGTGATACAGCCCTGTTACACACATTGTTTTCTACGTCCATCTTCAGCTCCCTCTCCGCTGCTTTCTGAAGACAGAAGAGACATTACACTTTCTCAACTCTTTGCCAGATCAAAATGTACTGACTGATTTTTTTTTCAGCCCCACAGCTGTGGCCTTGGAAGGGAATGATGAAACACTCCTGTCGCCATGGTAACGAGTTTCATTTTCATGTGTTTCTGTTGGAAGACAAAAGACCCCATGTTGAAGATTACCCTAAACGACTACACGACCATCTTTGGCCTGACCCCAACTGGGATAATCCGTTACCTGAGGCTCCTCAAACCTGTGGATCGGGAGAAGCAGATGGCCTACACTTTCACGGTAGGCCTCAGACCCAATGTAGCTATTTGCAAGACAGCCCTGACGCCCTGTGACCTACATCTCCCAGTTCGTGTATATTATTAGAACTCTCAGGTTAGCTCCACACCAAGAGGCAATGGTAGATACAAAGCCGAACTGACACTTAAAGAACAATGTGACCTTTATCAGCGGTCAGAGAACAGTGTGTTCACTTGGATTCGTAAATCCAGAGGTGAACCAGGTTTTAACGTTCATACAAGACTTATGTCTTATCATATTCCTCTAGAGATCCCATCTATATGTCAGTAACCTTATCATTATCAAATTTTAGTGTCCACTCTTAACTTGCATTGTGTTGTAACTTAATTCTGTTGTATTGTACATTTCTATTGGTCTCTCTTTTTTGTATTTGCAGCATGTTCCTTCATTATTACATCTCCTAAAGAGGTTATGGTTTGGTTAGTTGGTTGGTGGGTCGGACAGTGGGTCTGTGTTGCCTGTACGTTGCATGTGATTTATCTGTTTGCTTGTGGTTCTTCAGTTGCAGTACCTTGAGCAGTTTCTGCCGCATCAAGTTATAACTAATCATTAAAGAAATCCTAAAAACATTCCATGATTCAGATGAAACCTTAGAACAGTTCTCTGTTCACGTTAACAATTTGAAATGACTTATTTTTGAAGATTTGTATAAAGCATTTACTTTATTTTCTTGCAGAGATGTATGAAAAGATTAATACCACACTTATACATTTGTGAATATAACTACAGCAGCAGGCAGGTAGTTTTGTACTGAGAAGATAGAGAAATGGTGGTATAATAATATTATTGATAATAATAATAATTGGCACCAATGATGAATAAAAACAGTAATGATGATAATAATTCCGATATTACAACAAAGTACCACTATTAATAATATTGGTCGTGGCAGTCGCAGTTGAATGCTGGTGGCAGATCTGGATCTTGCAGCTCTGGAGCCACAGGTACCTGCAGAATGAGGACACGGAGAGAGAGAGACAGAGGAAAGAGTGGCGCACACAGCAGGAGAGAGAAAACACAAAGTGCATGCAGTAGTGTGATATAAATACATGAGAAAGAGACAGAAGTGCTCAGTGCATCATGGGAGTACCCCCAGCAGTCTGCATGGCCAATAGCAGCACAACAGTGTACAATAGGGACGTCCACATCAAGCCGGTCCTATAGCTGCCTTCAAGTTCCATCAGGAGTCTGAGGGGGGTAACTCAAAATCTTTTAAGTTGATGTTTTATTTATCTTTTCTTTGACTGTACGTGGGAGGTTTTCTGTCTTTTCTGTTTTACTGCTGCTACAATGATGTCAACAGCCTGGCTCACCAAAGTAACTTGTTTCCTCGTAACTTGGTCAGAGGCATGGCAGCATCTTGGGAGATACAGCGGCTTCCTTCATCGATTCTTGGGATTAGAGAGCATCAGCAGATCAACAGTGAGCTCTTTGGGAATGGTTCCCTGGAGAGCACAGGGACGATTCTGTTGGCCAAAGTCTGTGATATATATAATTGCCGGGTTTTGTCGGGCTGGCAGAGGAGCTTTGGTCATCGTGCATCAGCAATTTATGAAGATTTGATGAGTTCCCTGCGTGTGTGCAGTGTTGACTGTTTTCATGCTGTGAATGTAAAGTTTAGAGAAGGTTTCTGTGTGGATTGGGGTCTGAGGAGCTGAAACGCTACATGGACTTATGTCTTCTTTATAAGAAAGCTTTCAAACTCACAATCCACTCTGAATACACTTTATGGTGAAGCTGACAGTGTTCCTCCACTTTGCAGTGGCAACTGTTCAATACGGAGCATTTTTAGATTTCCTCCCTCTGCTCTTCAAAGAGGATGCTGCATTCACACTATCAGATGGACAGGAGAGATCCTCCCCACATCAATAATGCTTGTTACCTGGTGGATGTTTTAATGGCTGTCAAATACTTCCATATTTGTCAATACTTCAAATACTTCATTCCCCAGAGACCTGTTGTGCATTAAATGCTTTAAATATACTTCATGAGTTATTTATTTATAAAAAACAAAACCTTCTCGTTACACAGTTAGTAAAGTTTGCAGTAGCCTTTTAGACATGTTGGCGTGTTTCTACCATTGTTTTTATTTTTTATTTGTTTGTTTGATAACACAATTACAACTGTTCTGATTACAAACTTCGACAAAAAAGTTTTTAAGCATTTATGTTCATGGATTTTGACGGAGAAAAGAAAATGTCATGTTGCAACTTGGTACTGAACCAAATAATCTGGATTTAGTGAGTATAAATGTTGTTTATAGAGTACAATATAATTATAATTATACTAGTTAAATATGAAGAATCTGATATTTTCCTTCAGTTGTAAAGCTGAAGCAAGTGAAACTAATCTGTAAGACTAAACATGGCATCTCGGAGAATTCACTTTAATTGAGCTTAATATCAGACATTACAAGTGTGCGCTTTTAATTCTTGCAAAAAAAAAGCTTTTTAACATAATGCTCATTGTAGATAACTGCATAGAAGAATTGAGGGTTACTCTTTTGCTTAAGTGATGCTATTCCAAAGATTGTTGATGAGAAAGAAAAAGTCTTGTCTAGCGTCAAATTACTTTTACAATTAGTCTGCATATCCCGACCGACCAAGAGAGAGAGGGAGAGACAGTGAGGGGGTGTCTTGGACCCAAAGAGAAAAAGAGTCTGATCCAATTTAGATAAATATCAGCCTTCAAATATTATTGTGTTGATGTTGTTTTGGTTCCTGCTGTTAGTGTGGGAGAGAGTGTGTGTGTATGCGTGCTGCCAACCATAAACACAGACCTTGTCAGGACCAGTAGGCCTCATGGGGACATAAGCATGGTCCTAATGAGGCATCATTTCTGAGGTCCTGGTTTAGGTCAGGGGCAAGATGTGAATTATGTGCATGAATTGGTCATGGTTAGAGACAAGGTTCGAAGGATTGCTGCACAAATCTGAGTGCACAGAAATGTTCCAGTTCTTGGTGTTGGTACAGTAGTGATGACTCAGTTAAAGCAAACTTCCTTGGCTACCAAATATTGCTTGGCATCTCTCCTCTTGAGGACGGCTGCAGAATAGAAACACTGTTTGATGGGAGAGAAACCACAGTGGGTGCTGTCGTAAATGTGATCATGCATCTCTGTGAATGTTTCGCTGCTACTCGAGGGCACCCTCCTCCTGATGTATAGTATAAACAGCCATTTCCATTTCAGCTCCGAGATCAAATTTTGGGGGGGAAAATCCATTTCCCACCAAAGAAACAATGAGTTTCTTCCTGCTGCCACAGGAGTTGTTCAGATCTCCTCTCGTGTACACTTCATTTGTTGTTCTGCTCAGTCCATTTTCTTCCTCCTTTTGCCAAGTGCTGGAGATCAGAGCTGCCAGTGACAAATAAACATGCAGTTTGCTCAACTGTAATTTAGGCTGTCTCTCTCTCTCCTCTCATCTATTTAAGGGCTTTTCAAACCTTAAGGGGATGAGAAATGAACAAAATACAAGGTGCTTAATGAGAGTGACTTTATTGTGTTGGTGGAAGAAACATGTTGACATTTGGCACATTCCCTTATCAAAGAAAACAGATTTTGAAGCTTGAATATTAAAGTAATTCTTCTGTGATTCATAGGAGAAAATGTGACTACAATATGCATTTCTCTTTTTACAGATGGTGGCATCAGATGGCGTCCAGCAGAGTATCCAAGTAACTGTCAACATCCTGGTCCTTGATGCCAATGACAACACGCCCACGTTCGCCGAGGTCTCCTACAGCGTCGAAGTCTTTACAGACATGCAGCAGGGGGAGACGGTGCTACAGGTAAATCAATGATCGCTCTACCCCCATCCTCCTTCTCTTTCTGCGTTACTCCATCGTCTTTGACCCCATCACATGGAGTCTCTCGCATGGTCTTTCATGTTCAAAGCAAACAACCATAACAATCCAGAGCATTGTGTTGACAGGCAAACCCCTGGAACACTTCCCTTCGTCTCATCTCAGCTCCTGACAGACAAATCAGTGAGAGTGTTTTTATCTCAGTGCACAGGCTTAAGAAACCTTGTACCCAGTAGCTATTATGGCTGCAGAGAACTCATTGTGCAGCAAAAATGATGACCATTTATCAATCTTTCCCCTGATGAAAAGGATTGGATTGTTGTGTAGAAATAGTTTATATTGTTTTTTATAGATTGGGAACATTGTTCATTTTGATTTCCTAAGTGTACTGGCTTTAAAGGTCATGATTTCCTTTTTCATTTTCTCTCATGCGAACACGTTTGCACATAATATGAGCCAGAGCGGTGCTGAAATGCAGTTCATGTGGGAGGACATACACAGGCGCATTTTAACATGCACACACTGTGAATCACTGTGAATCAATACCCCGATCCCACTATATCTATTAGAGTTGGGGTGGTCCATAATTTCATTGTCTCTCATTTGATAGTCTGATCATGATCCTTTCACTGTTCAGTTGATCTGTCCTCTCAGCACAGCCTCTCCAAAAGAATGTCAGACACTAAAAAGGTCAAGATTAATCTGTCTAAAAAAAAAAAAACCCTCCATGAAATGAGGCCAAGGGTCAGAGAGTGTACTGAATGACCGCTTAACCGATTTTTATAAGCCGTTTACGAGAGCCGCGGGCTCTCTGAGGATGCAGCGGCTGCTTATTTGATGCTACAGCTTTTGCTTCGACGTCAGGAGCATGAAAAGGGAGGTCTGGGTAGCTTGGATTAAAGTTTCAAAGCCTTAAAGATATGAAGCCAACTACACCATTAGGGCTCATGATTACAAGCGGTGGGATGTCTTGAATCATTGACTTGAAGGAAATGGGGGCTGCGTAATTCGTTTTTACAACAGAGAAAAAAGCATTACTGTTAGCATTATTAAGCTTTTTTCTCAGTCTTACTTCCACAAAACAACTTTGTCCGTCAGCTATCTTTCCCCAACTTTGAAATCCATCTCGTATGAAAAGTAGCACATGATTAATTTGCATTAAATCCAAACTTTAAGGTCACCAAATTGCAATCACCAGAGTGTAGAAATTCCAACCACTGGTTGCAGTGTAGTGTTCACTCTGTACTTTCAGATGTAAAACAAGTGTTTTCCCACGTATAAAACAAAGGTCATATGTCCACTAGATAAAAATAATGAACAAAAATGGATTCAAGGTTGCATTGAAATATCTACTGCTTGACTGGTTCAGTCCACCTGTTCCTCTGTAAGACTAGAAATTACAGATCTGTATGTTTATATTTTGTGTATAATGCGTATCTGGTTCTTTCTCTCTCAGTTAACAGCAGCAGATGCTGATGAGGGACTCAATGGCCTGGTGACCTATGAGATACTGGCTGGCGCACAGGGACATTTCATAATTAATAATCGCACTGGAAGGATCACGGTGGCGCCTGGTGTCACTTTAACTGTGGGTCGTTCTTACGCACTGACTGTCAAAGCCTCTGACAATGCACCAGAGACCCAGAGAAGGTAAAGTAGCCACCTGTGCTAACTCTTTTCCCATGTGTGATTCATTTTTTGCATTTGAGGTATGAAGGGTTTATTATATTTATGTTAATAATGTGACATGCAGAAGAGCCAATTTGTCTCTCAGACGTTTCAGAGATTACTCACACACAGTTTAATTTTGTCTATCTCCTCCGGGTTTGCACGGTACTGGAGCACCCAGCTTGAATTGTTTTATGAGTCTTGTTTAATTCAGTATTTGCTCATAATAATTCACAAGTTCACTTCTAAATGACACAGAAAGTCCTCTTTGTGCTAGATTATGGAGAAATGCAATTTGTGACAAGCTGCTGAAACTCAGAAAAACAGATGGTCTTGTTCCATCCATCCATTAAAATCTTGTCATGGGATGTGTCATTGATTTTCACCTCTTTATCTTGTGATTAAAAGGCAAATGATTCATTGTGTATCTCAGATCTCAGGTCAGAGTATGAGACATCAGAGTTGGATGTGGAAACAGCAAATCAAACGTTGGCGCAGACACATTTAATGACCCGGCCTTATAACAAACTACAACGTAGCATAATTACACAATGAACTCCACAAAATGATTGTTTATTACTGCACATCATCATGACAGATCTAGCTCTTTTGTTGCAGTTCAACAAAAGACTTTCACATGATGTATGAATAAATAACAGTCACTTCCATTTGCATGTGTTCTGCTGTGAATAAGCAAGCTGATCAAAAAAATGAGGCTTTGCTGTGGCCTAACACTTCAGAATATAATCCGCTTTTTCTTTGTCCGATTCTTCTACGATCACTCCATACGCAAAACCTTGGTATGGAAATATACATCATAAACATTCCTCTCTATGCTGTGGGCAAGGTTCCCCACTATGGCTCAACAGGTTGTCAAGGACAGACTGGTGCTGTCAGTGGTTGATGAGTGCCTTTCTTTCTGCCAGGAGCTCCATAACTACAGTGTACATCGAGGTTCTGCCACCCAACAACCAGAGCCCCCCACGCTTCCCCCTCTTCACCTACAGCCTGGAAGTGAGCGAGGCAATGAGGATCGGAGCTATTCTGCTCAACCTGCAGGTGAGTCACCAACACGCACACTCTCACACGGCATATGTAAGCAAGGAGATATATTGTGCTCATATTAAGGTTCATGATTTTTATGTGAGTTATTACTTGAACAGGTTTCCATGCTCTAATGTTGACAAAACAAATTCAGGGGAATTATGGAAACATTAATAACCATTGCAAATGTTTTAGATACACAAAACACTAGAGGATAGAGAATAACTGAAAAGGCGTACGTCTCCTTCAATTCATGTCAATCAACACATTCAATCATCTTTTAATCCACATTTTATTAATTAGCATATATCCTGCTAAGAGTCTAGCACCCTCGCTCTTGAAGCCTTCAGGTTTAATGGCACTATATGACCTTCAAGCTCTTGTTTTTTTCCACTTCCCCCAGGCCACAGACAGAGAAAATGACCCCATCACATACCGTATTGTGAGCGGGGATTCCCAGAAGGTCTTCAACCTCTCTGAAACGTAAGTTCAGACACCGTATTTCCACCAAGCCTTATTTAAGATGAAAGGATGGTAAGTGGAGATACAGTCTGCGAAAGTCTGAGACCACTTTCCCATTCACTTAGATGGGAAACTAGACTTTTCAACCTGACTGTATATTGATGAATGGATGAATGCAAAGACATAAATTATTCATCAACAGCATCAAGTTCCTTTGACAACATTGTTTTGAAATTTAAAAAAAAAGAACATTTTGTAGAGATTGCATTGTGTTTGTTTAGCACAATTGAGTTTTCCTATTTGTTGTGTGTCTCATATTTCATTGCACGCTGAATTTAATGAGCAGTTATGGAAAATATATGCAAATTCTTTGCTGGATCGTAACACAACAAGCCTGAGGCAAACAGGACACTAGTCTATAAGGACACTAGTCAAACGCTGACATTACTTTGAGAGTTTATTGAGGTTTTTGAGTAACAACACCAAGCTCTTGTGTACAACAGCTGCTTTATCAGAAACTTTGCTGGAGCTTGTGATCTGAGAGACACAAAGAAAAAGATACCTCGGATATCAAAATGTTTGAAAGCCTCTTATGATCTGTCCTGTGGAAAGGCTCTGCGTGTATTAACCGCCATTATATGTTGACACCTCGTCTTTCCTTTATGTTGATGACCACAGAAGAGTCTCTTCAGATAAGCAGCCAGGGTCTGACTGCCACCATTAGCTTCCCTCTGATGATAGAGTCCACCTGAGCAAGTGATGATGATGGGGAGGCAGGAATGAGTAGGGATGTGCAGCAGTGATGATAGTGAGTGGTAGTGGTGCTGACTCTGCCAATTATTGTGTTTGGATGATTTATTAGCCAATATACTGCGTGACGTTGTTTATGAACACTGGTGGTGCCATCAAGAATCCCAATGAACCAAACCTTCATTTGAATAAAAACACCCCACTACTTCTACGACACAGACACACACTCAGAAAATCCTCTAGATCACAGCCAAACACAAGTTAGCAGTTTAAAGCAAATGAATGGCACAAACCAAACTCTGTTTTTAATACATGAATGAATTGTCACTGCAACATATTTTAGGCGACTTTCACACCTACCTTGTTTGGTTCGGACCTTCAGACCTTTCAGTTTCGTCCAAACCAAAACAACAGGTGAGAAAGGTACCTCGGACTATGACTCGGATAAACATACAAAGCTTAAGTCCGACCAAAAGACGGTCGGCCTGGAACAAACTGAACAATGGTTCGGTTTGTTTGCAAAATATTATACTGGATTGTTCAGATAAAAAGTTCATAATCAAAATACCATAAATATTCTGCTGCAGTTAACTGTGCCAAAGAAAAACAGTAAGAGACATGAATTCTTTCCACACTAGGGCAATTAGGTCAGAGATACCAGAGGCTGGCAAGCAGAGCTGACGTGAAAGTCAGACGAAGAACTCTGTGGAAAATAATCACACAGAATAAAATTTTATTCTATGGCTTGGGTTTGGTTCTCTCCTCTTTTCTCTCCAGCTCCATTTCCGTCTCAGCTTTTTTTTTGCTTTCTGAGAGAAGCCAGGGTATAAAAATACCAATTATTTCTGGAGAGCAAGAGACACAAAAATATGTTACCTTACCTCTCATAATCAACATCAGCATTTCAAAAACCCGCCTCGCTCAGCTGCTCCTTGGGAACAAAGAAGAGGCATAAAATATTAAAGTGGTCAGTGTTTTTTTTTCTTTTACCTTCCCTTAAATAAGCAAGCAAATATGGAGAGAGCAGACAGGAGGCTGAACATGCAGGACCCTGCCAGACACGTTTCTCACTAATTGATTAAAGCTTGTTTTGTCTGCGTGTCCTCAGGCTCCCGGCTACACAGGGACCAGCCAAGTTGCAGGACTCTTTCCCTGCCTTTGTTTATTCCTGCTCTGCTTCACACTGTTAAAATAGTTTGTTGTATGGAGGGATCTTTACTTTATGGTTTCATAGAGCTACTGTTATAGTGAGCAAGAATGTGGTGACACACGATTAAGATAATTTGAGGGACTGTTATTGTTGGCGTTGCCGCTGTAATCTCTATGACCAGATATCGTGGCGGAAACAGAAACATAGTTTCATTCACGTCATTGTTTGTGAGGCAGAAATATAACAATCACATTACAACCCCTCAGCAACCTGGCAATATAATCACTTCAAGCAGGTGCTGATAAAGCACATTATGAATCAAAGAGTGATTAGCTGCTTGCTTTGATGAGTGTGCAATATCCAGAGCCCCACTTCACACTCTCATTCCTCAACCCAACTCCTGTGTGATTCAGTGAAGAGATTCATTTTTTCTTTTTGCATTGCTGCATGTTCACATTGAGGCTACATGTGGGCCTTGTTCAATCCAGCTATTATGAATAATGAGCTCTCTATTCTATAACTCCATACAAATGGGGCAGGGTCCCCTGAGGGAGGGAGAAATGCTTTGGATTCACTCAGCATTATGGTCCCGAGCAGGACGCTCCATTGAATCAGTGGCTGTGAGTCTGTCAGGCACCACGTGCTGTACAGAGAGGCACACTGATGACTGACCAACCTGCAGTAGCAGCATGACAGTTAAAGACATCAATAACAAGTATTTGAGTTCCGGAGGGACTGATGATGAGTTAAGATGTACCTCATATTATTATTATTAATATTGATAAATGTTATGGTCAATGTTAATTCAGGATTAAATTAAGTTTGATTAAACTACATAGATCCAGTTTATAATGAATTCCTAGAAATGCTCCCCCTAATGAGCCACAAGATAAATGTTGGCAAGGCCAGCAGTAGCTCCTCTCAGATATATTGGTATTGTCGTATCCTTAATTTTATAAGTGAGAAATGTCAGTTTGAAAATGTAATTAAATCATTTAGAAACTCCATAGTGTCTCCATCACATTTTCCACAGAAGAGACATTACAACTTTAAACATGTCCATCTGGTATGATATTGTCTTAAACGTAATGTCATTAATGCATCCATCTGCAATTTCACTCTCTTAAGGTTTTTAATTTCAGAATCTAGTGTCATGAAATACAAAAGAAACCCACTACATGAATAAACTTTATAAAGGTGTCTATATAAACTGCCCGCGCTGAGACTTAAAGGTCCTATATATGGTTTATATAATCTTTGGGGTTGTGGTTAGTCGCTGTAGTTAGGGTGGACTATTGTGATTTTAACATATAGTGGCCGGATCACAGTAATTTCAAATCACAATAAAGGTTTCTTATGAAAATGAATAATAAGCAGTACAACCTTATAATTATCATCAAATACCAACACCAGTTCAGCTTTAAATCAAATCGGCTACATCTTCTTTAAAGCTCAGTTTAAGCAGCTTTTCAGTGACAGAAACCAACAGTAAACTAGAGGCTATGATAACTCGTGGCTCTGTGTCACAGTATGTGGCCGATGGTTTTGCTTCAAAGGGAAATTGAAACTGAAACAGAAAATGAGTTCAAGAGAAGATAGAGTTTTTCTGTTCCAAAGAAGTAACAAACAAATGCATGCCATTCATTTAAGTTTGATTTACCTCAGTGGAATCAATTAAGTTAATCTAGAGTGAGAGTTTCTTCATTCAAATGTATTTAAGCTTTTCCGTTAAGTATAAAGTCTTCAACTCTATGACTTAAGTCGTCTTTGAGTGATGAACGAGTACTTCTGAGTGCAACTGTGACTCAGGTCACAACTTAGCTGGATTTCATGAACATGCACATTTACTCCAAATGACCATTTAGAGACATTATCTGAGCAGAATGAAAGATCATGGATGGATAGCCTCCAACCTGCTCCTGTCTCTGGATAATACTGTGGTACAGCATCATGTCTGTCTGACATCTTCTCCTTTACGGCAGCTGTGGAGAGGAGGCAGGACGATATCAGGCATGATCGGTGACCCTCTCAGCTCTCCGGGGGGAGTGTGTGTGTGTGTGTGTGTGTGTAGCAGTGAATGTGGTTCAGCATGTAGCGAGGAGCCAACTCTCCAGGCCAGCTTCTCAATCAGCATCAAGATCATCACCATTAACACTGTAATTACAACAATTATCACTGTACATCTTCATTATCATACTCGCATCACAGCCTCTTCTACCTTTAGCTCCATTGAGCACAGAGGGGGCTTTCTTTCTGCTTATGCATAAATAAACATGAGCGCAGCAGTTGGTGACGGATGGCGTACTGCATTTTTATGGTGTTTTCTTTTTTTTTTTTTTTTTTAGAAAGCTTTGCATTTGCCCTCTCGAGCCACCAATCATCAGGTGTATTGGATTTAAGTGGTTAAAGGGATAGATGTTAACCGAGGTTTGCGTAATTTGAGTTTAATACGAGACGCCACTGTTTGACAGTGTTGGAGAGGCAAGAAGAAACTAGCGGTCAGATTCTGCTCGCATTGTTTGGCCTCAGGAGCTTTAAATTAGAAATGTGAAGGAGCAGGGGGACAGCCGGGAAATGTGACGGGCATTAATCTCGCAGTGCGCTCAAATGCATTCATCTTTCCTCCCTTTTTCGCAGTTCTGGCAGAGCCCCTCCTGAGTGCGGCAGTGGGATTGTTTTTTGCATTCTGTGCGTGTGTGTTTCTGTGTGCGCGTGTGTGTGTGGCTGAGCTCGCACTCATGTGTCTTGTGCGGCTGCGTGTGCAAACACAGATAATTCAGCGTTCTGCTTGGGAATGCATGCACGCTTTGTGTTTGGGATACCAGAGTGCCAAATTATGCTTTGTGAACGAGCAGGGGAGGCACTGTGCTGCAGTTACTGGAAAGAAAACATGAATCTCTCTGTAGTCCGCATGCTCTGGAAGCAAGAGGCGGGCTGCAGAGAGAGAGGGAGAAAGACAGAGTTGGGGCGTTTAAAAGCCCACCTGCTCTTCCCCCAAAATCCACACTCCTCTCTCTCACCATGTTTTATAATCGGTCGAATGTTAAAGTAAATAAACTCTTTACTATTACCCTCCATTGGGTCAGAAATAAAGTTTTGATGTACTTTCATGAACCAGAGATACTTGAATAATTCTAAACAAAGCTGTGTATTGTGTCTTCTCTGACCCCCCCCCCCCTTTTCCACAGGATTGGTCTTCTGCTTCTGGACAAGCCCCTGGACAGAGAGACCACTGATCAGTACCGTCTGATCGTCACAGCCTCTGACGGAAACCCTGGAGGGGTGAGGCACAACCGTCTTTTTCAACTTTTGGCCTGGTTTCTCAGCGAGGACCCTCAACACATTAAGATCTTCTTTAGCTCAGACTAAGATTTGGCTCACTGAGCCTGAGCGAGTCATTCTCCCAGAAAATCCAATAGTGCGCTTGAGTCTACCCTATGTTTTTCATAGTTTGGTGAAATTTGTGGCGGCACTAGAAGTAGGCAGCAATAAGTGCTGCAAGCCCTTTTGAATTCATACAGGTAGGCCTAGAAATTTGGAAATTACAATTGTATGGCTTTGATAACCTTTTGATTTCTAAAGAAAGAGTTTCACTCTCATTGATAAAAGCCCTTGAACAAAAGGGACTCCTGTGGATACAACTGTACAAGCAGTGCGGCATTCACGTCTGTCATTTCTATAATCAAAAGGATTGGAATGCTTTGCAATTTGCAACGAAATGGGCAAATGATTACCTTGCGATCATATAAATGTTTGTTTCTGTCAAGTGACAAAAGCTCAGTTGCAGTTACAGGAGATAGCCAGGTGCTTGTGACGACATTAAGCTACTTCTCGGGATGAGTCATGCAAAAAAACATAAACATATTTAAAGTGTTCATTAGTTGAGATCTTCTTTAGCAAGCTGCTGCCCTTCCAATGTCCTGACGAGTGCTTGAGCAGAAGACTCTCGTGTGTGTGTGTGTGTGTGTGTGTGTGTGTGTGTGTGTGTNGTGTGTGTGTGTGTGTGTGTGTGTGTGTGTGTGTGTGTGTGTGTGTGTGTGTGTGTGTGTGTGTGTGTGTGTGTGTGTGTGTGTGTGTTCTCAGAGATGTCTTTGTAACTTAGCCTCGAAAAACAGCCGACACTATAACCAAAAGTGAATGCTGGCTGCTCCGTCTCCCACCGAGAGCTGATAATCATATGAACGTCTTAATTTAATTAGACTTCACTTCTGTTGGCTGCCGTTCCAGGCAGAGGTGAAATGTGGCCTCCTTTTTTTTTACGGTGTGTATGATGTGTGATGAACCGTACAGCTGATGAGCCTTCACAGGAGTTGATGTTGAATGCCCCCTTCTCACCTGCACATGCATTAACACGCAGACCTACAGCTCCCCCTCATCTGTTGGTCAGGTGCAGCAGTCTGAGAAGCGTGTGTGCTGCCGCTGTGTCTGTGTATTTGTGCCACAAACGTGCAGCGGTTCAAAAGGAGACCCCGGTTGGAGCTGGTCAGTGACGAGGTCAGAGAGCAAAGACCAAATATATAAGCGTAAAGTGTAAGACTTCACAGAGTGAGGCAGCCACCAGCTGACAGGTTGTACAAACCTGCCACCCTTTACCTGTGTAGTGTGTGTGTGTGCCAAATGTCTTGTCCCCACAGTAAAATACTGGCTAACCTGCTTGGGTTAAATGTCAAGGCTAGAACGAAGTGTTGTCACAACAGGTAAGAAGTGGAATAAGGGAGTGGGGTGAAGGGTGGAAGAAGGGCGGAGGTGAGCAATGTATTCAGTGAGACGCGGTACTGTGAGGAAGGCTGGAGATGGTGGGAGGGATCAAAATAAGCACAGGAGGAAGCAACAGAAAAAAGAGAAAGCGACGGAGAGAGGAAATTGGACACCGGGTGATTCAAATGTGTAATTACTAGCACTGAATATCAGTAACCATGGGAACCTGACAAAAATGAGCAAGACAAGCCAGTGCTCCCTATGGTGCCACTATAATCAAATCTGAATGAACTCAAAAACTTTTTTTTTTTAAACCAGTACTTGAATTTGAACTTTTTCATCTGCTCACGCAAGAAACAAATTGCAAAATTTAAAATTTGTATTCTCAAAAGCATGAGCTGTGAGAGTCAGATTCCACAGCCTCACCCGTGGATAACGCTGCTCCTCTTGCCCTCAGAGAAGCGAGTACATGACTTTAAACAGCCTGATCATATCGGCCTCTTGCAACATGGCTTCTGGTCAGGATTGTCACTTGAAAGGCAAAAGCACTATCATCCACCTCTGGATCTCTCAGGCACTGAGGACAGACGACAAGACATCACAGGGTTCCATCTATTTTATGTTGAATAAATAATAGTCGCTCATTAATCACACTCGTGGCCAGAGAGGTGGGGGTTTTGGCTTTGATAAGAAAACACATCCTCTAGTTTTTGCAGTGAAAGAGCATAAGAGTCACTGAGTGTGATGCCACTTCAGTTCATACATGAAAAGATGGATTATATATGTCTCAGAAGCTCCATCAAAGAAAACAATAGCGAAGGGATTTGAGAGATGAAGGTGACATTAACTAGGTCATTGCCTGTGTGACATGTGCCACTGAATGTCTCTTCTACTATGGCAACGTCAAAAAGATGTCTGCGGGTGATTTATTTATTAATTTTTGCGTCCGCCCCCACAGAGGAGATCATTTTCTACAATTATTTGCATACAGCTTTGTCCCAGAGCTCTGAGAGATTATAGATTGTGCATATGCAGCCATTTTTTAATGTTGATTTATAGCAGTGCTGCGGCCTTGTGGTACTGTGTCATTGTTTGAAGGTGAGCAACAGTGGCCATGCAAATGAATGGACACCTCAGGTGACCAGTGAGATAAAACAAAACCCACAGAAAACACCGGACATTATACAAAACACAAACATGATTCAATTGACCGTGGAAATAAAGAAAATGTGTACCGTGACTAAGACATTCTCTACAACATGAAAATGAATGCAGTTGATATAAGTAACGGTATTTGAAATTATCGGAGTATTGAACTTTTGCTCAAAAAGTAAAAGTGTGAAATCAGAGGAAGTAAGATGTGATCGATCTGATTTCATGCTTTCATGCCCCAGATACTGGGCCACCCTCTTGTGCAGTCTGCTGTTAATAACAAACATCATCGAATATGCCCCGACGAGAAAACAGCTCAATATGCTCTGAATTCTTAATAGATATATACTATATGCACATACATTATGTATTTATGTTGGAAGTTCTTAAAAGTTTCTTTTTAGAAGTGGAGTTTTTTTCGCCTTTGCAATCAAAGTAGCAGCGTTGATGTTTAGTCCTGGATGAAAAAGTCAGGAGATCACCAAAAATATTACAATTCATCCTGAGGCAGTTGTAAAAAATCTTTTAAGCGGCTCTGGCTCAGGAGGAAGGGCAGGTCAATCCACAAATCCTGATCGCAACTGTCCTCAGGGGTCATTGTCAGAGCACCTTGGATTATCTTCAGAATTGTTCATGAGAATCCATCCAATACTCTTGACTTAAAAACAAAAATGTCAACTTCATATTGGTGCTGGAGAAGAAGTCAGAGGATTTTCAAATGTTTGCAGAATTCATCGTTTTAGGATCCGTGGACATAATCAATGCTGTTATAATGTCAACACACGCTGGCCTACACAATCATGGGCAGCTAGACAACAACAACATTAAGAGTTATCATTCTTATGTTTCACCCACAGTGTTCTAAAGGACAGCATGTGGTTTTGTAAGCTCACTAATCTGTATATATTTTGTATAAGGCAGTGCCCAATTTACGAATACAGTATTAGATTTTAGTGATAAAATTTCCAGCAGTGTAAACATGTGCAATACATTTGTGAATATGATTTAAAGGTTTTAGCTGATCCTTTAGTACTAAGTATAGATGAGATTGATTTTTGTTTTTTTTACATTTTCCCTGAACTAAGAATTATTTGCCAAATACTGCAGTACCCTTCAGGGCGGCCTCCCCTCCTGCACAGTTAGATCAGTCTAAAAGGCCACATCACTCTGCTGCTCATTGACCTCCACTTGCTCTCCATGGCTGCCCAAATCAAATTCAAGTCCCTAATGGTCGCCTACAGAGCGACTTCTAGGTCTGCACAATCTTTTTGAACTCAATCACACGGGCTCATGCTCCTTCTTGACCGCTGCATTCCTCCATGGAACGTTGTCTGGTGTTGTCATCCCTGCACACAAGGCAATCATAGTCTGACTCTTTTCTATTGTGGTTCCCTAATTGTGGAGCAAGCAAATGCTGTAAGAGCAGGGATGTCCGTCTCTAACTTTAAGAAGACACACTTCCTCTTCTTTTTTTATTTTGTTGGATTGATTTACTGCAAGGTCTCCTATTGTTGCTTTGGATAGAACTATCAGCCCAAATGAGTAAATGTAATGTAATAAATTATATATAAGTCTAATAGTAGGCTTTGCTGCAGCGTATTATAACACAGTGGGCCACCTCATGTGAAATAGTCTTCACTACGTATTTTATATGCGTCTGGACAGAAGTGACTATGAACCGGTTTGTGGAATCAAACAACCACGAGGCAGTAAATCTAGTTATCTAAGCTCTGACGGGGTCAAAGGTACTTCTTAGATTCATTCTTTATTAGTGAGTTTTTAGCAGTTGACCTTGTTTGATCTTTATGCTTCTAAAATTATTACTTGAGCATAAGAGAGACTAATTTTCCTGATAAAAGTTTAAAGTTAATTCCACATTAAAGTAAAAATTATACTATCCATATCATTGTTTGTGCCATGTTTCTAAACTCTGTGTTTGAATACTTTTGTAAATGAAGACTGAATAACGTTTGTCTTTAATGTGTTCTTTTTCTCTCCTTTAGACATCCACTACGACCGTGAACATAGTTGTCACTGACGTCAACGATAACGACCCCAAGTTTAACCTCACCATCCCCACTAATTTTACTGTGCAAGAAGAACAGGCCAATTTGTTCATAGGAGAAGTCACAGTAAGTGTGATGTTTGTTTTCTGATGGTGTTGTTCCTTTCAGGCATCATGTGTGTTGGTTCCACTGTTTAATAGATGATGTTTTATGCAAACCACAGAGCAATTTGTTTTCATTGCTGTGGCTCACAGTATCCAACATGGTAAATCATGTCAGACACATTTGTCAACCAAAGCTGTTGACTGGCTTGGTTTAGCTCCGCTGAGCTGCCAGAATTTATACCGATTACTATTTTTAGTTCATTGGCTTGATGCTCATCAGTGGGTTGATCAGTGAATATTGACAGGACACATGGACGGTTTGCACATAAAGTCAAATCAAATCAAATGTTATTTGTATAGCCCATTTTCACAAATCACATGAGGCAGAGGTTTCACTTGTTTCTTTATTTCTCCTGCAGTTTCACTCCCTGATTTTAAATCCCCACAATTTCTATAAACTCAGAGTTGAGTTTCAAAACAGCAAACTACGAGACATTTAGTGGGATTTGCAGCAGGTCTGGGGCACTATCAGAAAATCTATCTTTAAATAATGCAAAGAATTTTGAGTTTGGAAATATTCTCTGCAGTTTGATGCAGGTTCACAATATCTGGAGATATTGATCTGCAGATTTTCCGGGTGAGATTATTATATGTCATATAATGATTTACAACTCTAACACAATTATTCATTAAAATGTAAAAAAAAAAAAGACGTATTCTAATATATTTTGTGTACTTAAATTATCCATCGTGATTGCTTATGCAAACAGAAAATGCCAAGAGTAAACAGGCATTCTGATATCAGCCACATTTGTCCCAGAGACATCAGACATCTTTCAGTGGGTAATAAAATGGGATTATCAGTCAATGTTGCAAGTTTATGAACTCAGACAAAGTGGATGTATGAAGGAAACCTAGTGTTTGCATGAGGTAAAGCGACCTCCAGTCTTACTCCCACGTGTTCCCTCAGAAATGCAGCCAGCGGCTTGATTGGAGCTGAGCCCACATCGCCGTCTCTTGTTTGCTCTCTGTCCTACCTTGGAAGGTTTTCTTAGCTGGCGCCTCACCAACTCAAGCTGAGGCTGTGCCTTTCTGACTCGAAAGAAAAGTACATTAAAGTACTTAGCTCAACACAATCCTGCTCTCCATGCACATGCACATTGAGAGGCTACAGCTTAGCTCGTAGTAGCTGATCAAAGATGGATGCAGGCTTTTTTTTTTTTTCCCACTGCAGCACTGTTATATAAAATCTCTTGGTGTATTTTAGACCAAAATTTGTGAAAATAATGGTGGATTAGGTGAAAGAACAATAGCGGACATGTTTTTATCACTATTGACACCCTTCCATTGTCAGACTTCCTTTAACCAATTCTGAAGATGAGTGTGATTTTAATTGTATCTCTACAGACAACAGCCACATTTTCTTTGCTCTCTCACCAAATGACCAGGCTCTTACAGACCTACTGTGTCAATGCTTAGTGCAAGTGAAGGAGGCTTTGATTCTTTGGGTGATAAAGACTAAGCACAGAATGGAAAATATATCAGGAGCATATCACCCAAAAAGTCCTTTTAGCATCTAAAATATATAACATGATTTAGAGGTTCCCTGTCTTCATTTACCAGAGAGGAAATGTGAAAAATGAAAAAGAGAAAAAACGTTCATTCAAAACTAATGCATCTCTCTGTGTTTCAGGTCTGTTACACTGACAAATGCTTTCACACTTCAAGCTGGAGACTTTCTAGTAGCTTTGTGTACAAGGACGACTCTGCTGCAAGTTTTATTGAGCAACTTTTGTCCTTGTCTAAACAGTAGTCACATGACACACTAAATAAAAGTCAAATGAAAGATAAAGGAAGGAATAAGATCATTGTTCCTGTAGCCGTATCTTGAATATACCTGAGGTGGGGAAATAATGCAGTCAAGCACAAAGCTGCAGGCAACTGCCAAAGAAGAAGATGGCTGCAGTGCAAATGCATTATGCCATTAAGTAGATTAATGCTCACCCTGAAGCATGTTGGATTATCACAACTGAACTGGTTCCCACCTGTTCTTATTTTACACACACTCACAGAGATGGTTTGCCAGGTTATCTGAATTGACAGAAGTGCTGCTTGTGCAAACACAGTCACTTGTTCAGGGACTGACAAATCCTGCACATTCTGTTTGCTAATAATCTGAACATGCAGATGACCGCAGGACAAATGGATTAGCATTCACGTCAGACACATCATGGGAACATCATGTAGAATTGCTGCTACAGAGCTCTGCAGAACATAAATTGAGGCAGTGTTGATTTTCTTTTTTTCCACATCTAAACGTTGACAATGCAACATATTGAGCATGATGCAGTCAATGCTCTAACTTCATTTATAAAGCACCGTTCTACCTGTAAACAGAAGTAAATCCGAGGTGGTGCACATAGACACATAAAAACAACACAAACAAAATTTGAATTGTCTATAAAAATATAATGCATCAGTTTAAAGGGCCCTGTCATATGAGTCTCTAGGCAAGCCCACCATCACAAGCAAATTATTATCAACTAAATACAGTTTGAAAGACAAATAATTAACAACTGCTATACTTCCTGTATTCAAATATATTAATTTTGCTCGTAAAATGTAAAAATACTGTTTGTATTTAGAAAAAAACACACAAAGTTACATTGCAATCTTTAAGCTCCTTATTTGATTCAACATTTTTTAACACACTTTTTGGTAAAAATGAGAAAACAAGCATCCATTCCTGTGCTAATTACAGAGGTTGTTAAATTTAAGTATTGTTTAGTTTTTTTGCCAAGCTCCTTGAAAAAGTGAGTTTGATGGTTTTGTCCTGTGACATCTGTTAACACAGTTATCACTCCTGGTCTTCAGTTCTGAGAGGAACACGTTAGTTTTTTAATTTCATGTTTGAATGTAATGTGCTCTGTGTGTAAGGGTTAGAAGTGGGTAATTGAGACTAAATTTTAACTTTCAGCATTTACTTTCCAAAGCAACAGGAGTGTGTTATCTTATGTAAATGCTCAAAAACAAACGCTGGACACTGGCCAGCAGCAGAGGAGACAGATTTATATAATATCTATATTAGATCACATGCATTAAGAAGCTGTGTGGGCCTGTTTCTTAAGATTGAACCTACCTGCTCAAGCTGCTTTTTGTGCTGCAGCCTCCCGCAGGATGTTCCACTGCTCCCACAATCAATGTACTAAGCCTGCCCACCATCTCACGACATCAAATAACCAAACATCTGAGTCCAGACTGAAAGAAATGTGTCAAACATTCCCAAAACTACGGACGAAGAAAGAGCCACATCATTTACTGCGAGTTTTGACGCAGTAAATGATGACGACCTTTGTCCCAGGAACCAAAGGTTATATAATCTTCACTAAGACCAGGCTTTACAACGCGCCCACCTATTGATGTCATGTGTACCAACATCTCTGGCAGGTCTTTGATCTGCCCTGTGCAGACCTCCATAATACATGCAGTACTTTGTCCATTGGCCACTATAGAAATATGCAAATGTACTATGTGATTTTATTGGCTGTGAATTAATTGCTTTAAACCTCTTACAAGGCAAGAAGCGAGAGTGAGGATTTTAGTTATGTAACCACTGCAGGGAAGTAATGATCCATATGCACATATTGACATGATGTACTTTTTGCAAAAGCTTAAACTGCTGAGGTCCAACTTTTAGCGCTGGTTTGTCAGGGACTCACAGCGAACTTTGGACACAGCCATATGTTTATGTGCGTCCTCCTCACTCCAACTGTTTGAGACTTTCTCTCAGACTTTGTGCTGCCGTGTCCTTACGTGCACTGAAGTTAAGAAATTATTCCCAAACAGATGAAATGAGACTTGATCTTTGTATTCTTTTTGCCTTCCTCTCTCTCTCACTTACAAGAATTACCACCACCACACTGTTAACAGCCGGGTATGAATACATACACAGGCATAATAATGACCCGTCATCTCCACACAGGGATTTAAAATCTGTATTTTCTCCTCCTCACAGTATTGCACTCTAGCACCGTGGCCTGTTTCCCTTTTCCTCATTGTCTGTCATATATTTATATATATATATATATATTATGCCATGATATTGGATTTTCATAGTAAACATGGTAAACAGTTCAAATTATGATAAACATATGTAAAAGCAATCCCTGTGAGACAAAGGCATACAGAAATATAGTGAAGTAAGCCTATTAGAAACCTTTAAGCTCTTCATTTCTTTTTCTTTTATTCTTTTTTATTTGATCAGGAGTGTCGTGCATACAATTAAATTGAGATTGAGCTTTTTAAAGATTTCCTTTGGATGAAACGTGGAGTTTGCATGAATAAAAAAAGGGTTCTGGCCTTTTCAACCAGAGAATGATTACTCATCAGTCTGCGACAAAGACTCTCATCTCAGTACGAAGGAGAGGAAATGAGACTCCAAAGAGAAATGTGTGAAAGTTGTGTCGGTGCGGTTGCAGCACTGTAATTTACGTGGCTTTGTACTTGAATCTTCAGTAAATATGTAAGGCATAAAGATAAAGCCACGCTCTAATGGATCATGTAATGGATCACATCAAGCTCACAACATCTGCTGTTTGCCTAAAGCGAAATCCCTTTTGTTTTTATTTGCATGCAATGTATTGGTGAACATGTATCTCTCTTCTATTATTAATGCTTGTGAATGGATTTTTCCCACAGGTTGTCACTTTACTTCCACAGGGTCAGGAGAGAAATGGGCCTTATTGATGAATTTTTATTTAATGTTTAAATTTGCAATTCCACTAACATGCTCACATTTGTTTTCAGCACGCACGGTCTCTCAGTCCAATGTAAGATAATGACCTCTGCAACATTACCAGGTTTTAGGCTTCCATCTGATTATTCAGGCTAGATTCCACCTTGTCCCTCTATGTAGTTTGTGTTGCCACAGACTTCTATTGAAACAACAAATATGCTGCTGCATCGAATTATCCTTTTCGCAGTTCTCTAACTTGCTTTAGGAGGAAAAAATGGAGATCAAGTCAGAAGTCCTTGACTTCTGACTTGATCTCCATTTTTTCATATGGTCAAGCTGTGCACACATTATCTCTACAGGGGGAAAGTATGTTTTCTTGTATTTCCTCACCAGCTACACAACGATGATCATTTTCTGTGTGGTCTCATAACGGAGCCGTCTGATCATGTTACATCTCCGCAGGCCACAGATCCAGATGCAGGGGCTAATGGCCAGGTGCGCTACCGGATTGTAAATCATCCTGACTTGTTCACAATCAGTGCAAACGGCAGCATCTACACACGAGTGCCTCTGGACCGGGAGCTCAGGAGCCAGTACAGCCTGGTGGTGGAGGCGTCAGACGGGGCTGTGGATCCACGTCGCACCTCCTTGACGCTCTCAATCCTGGTTACAGATATCGACGACAACAGCCCCATGTTTTCCCAGCAAACCTATGTGGTGAATGTACCTGAAAACAGCCCGGTGGGAACTGTAGTTCTGCAGCTGAGTGTGAGTTTTCACCTGCATGTGTTTTTGTCTCTTTCTCTTCATCCCTGCATGGCTCATGTCTTCATTTATCAGGGGTGGATCCAATTAAACTGTAGACATTGAATTACTTATATGTGCACTTTACTAAATCAGGAATTGTGCATGAATGTTGGAAATACGATTGTCCCCTGTCTGTAAATCGTGGGCCCCTTAATAGGCCTTGATTTAGAAAAATCCTAGATCTGTCTCTGCCCTGTATATTATGTAGTCAAGGCGCCTGAAACAACTGTTATATTAAAAGGCTTTCAGCTATTTTTAACTTCAAGGGCATGAAATGTGGTGTTTGAAATGTCAGCTGCTTCCAAATGGAAACATTTGCACAGAGAAAAACATACAAAACATTTTTTTCTCCTGTCATGACAGCTCTCTGGGCATTTTTAGACTCCAGCAGAACAAAACTTACAGCTGAAATTCTGAAGTCATAACCAGTCTATAGTCACAGATCATTTCCATATCCTCTGACAAACATTAATATTACGCACAAATGCTGGAAAACTTCAGTGTGGTAAAATCTAAAGGTGGATTCAGCACTGTCAAATATCAGTGCACATGGTTGCACTGAGGAAAAGTATAAGGGAACCGTCTTCATGCAGGGAAAACACAGAGCAGAGGGGCGAGTAATTGCTGGAGTATTGTGAGTGACATTTCTCAGTGAGGGATAAAATAGGAAGGGAGACGGAGAGAGGCAGGGGTGAGGGTGAGGGGTGTGAGTGACAGTGGCACTGTGACACCATTAATCTCAGAGACAACGACACCTCAACTCTAAACGGATGTGGGTGGCTTTCAACACATCTGAGTGAGATAGTGAGACTCAGAAAAGGTGGAGGCTGAGTTGGGTGGAAACTAAATGTGTATGAGTGTATTCGCTCATCCGGTGGATCCACTTCTTCGGTCATTGCTCTCCAGAGGATGAAACCTACTGCTATTGATGATCCTTTAAATTACCTCGACTTTTTGACTTTTTGAGTGAAACATCTTGAAAACTGTTTCTGACGGATTGCCATGGAATTCTCAACAGAGTTTCAAATTCCTCAGGGTGCTGCTTTGACTCTCTGTGATCTTCTGACTTTTCCTTTAGCACCACCAGCAGGTCAAAATTTTCACTTCAAACAACTTAATGTGTGCTCTACAAAATTCTGTGAAGACATTCATGGTTCACAGACATTTTATTCTACTACCTTAAATGACTTTTTCCTCCAGCACCATGAGGTTGACATTTTTTTCTTACTGAATGTTAAGAAAAAGATTTTTTGATGCCGGGCCATCTTCAGGTGAACGTTTCTGGTTTATGCCCAGATGCCAGAGAAATGAAAGGCATTCCCATCAGCCTCGGCTCTACTTCCATAGTAAACATGAGGCTTGCTGATGTGAGCACTTAGCTCAAAGCACAGCTGTGTTAAAGTAAAGCCTCACAGAACCACTATGGCTGTAGTCTTGTTTTGCTTATCAATGAGTAATGCTGTGTGTGTGTGGGTGTGTGTGTGTGTGTGTGTGTGTGTGTGTGTGTGTGTGTGTGTGTGTGTGCATCTGCATCTTACTACCAAATCTCCTATTTCTACAGCCTTTGCAAATTCTATCCACTTTGAGAATTGTGATTTTCTGTAATAAGACCAAACTCAAGTTCCCCTTAGTGGTTTGATTTAATCAGAATCTATTAATGATTGATGCAAGTAATCCCTGCAGCATTAAAATGCAAAATTAAAATAGAAACATTAATATTCATTTCATATTCATCCATAGCCTTTACCCTCCATCCTATATGTCTATGTGTAATGTCCCAATTAAAAAAAAAAAATGTGCTGCTTCCTCTCATTTCTTCCATCATTCTGTTTAGGTTGTCTTTAATATTCTCTAATTATTTTTCCTGCTCATGCCTCTCCTCCTCTTCTTCACAGGCAGAGGACTCAGACCTCTTTTCCAATGTCACGTATCGGATCAAGACTGAATCGGCCCGGCAGCTGTTCTCTCTGAACCCTATCACAGGGGAGTTATCTGTGCTGCAGACCCTGGATTTTGAGGACCTGGCAGCTATGGGCATGGGGGCTTCTTTCACTTTTCAGGTGGAGGCTGTCGACCAAGGAGGGGTCATGCCTCCAGGGCAGGCTACCGTCACGGTCCGCATCACGGTAAGAGCCCGCAGACAGTCAGTCGCGCAGCCTCTTAGTCGTCTCCTCTTTTCCCATCTATCCTCATTGTCCCTCAGGATCTGCGGCACTGCCAGCGAATATGTGATGAGTCATTAGCAGAGTTTTACAGTAGTAATAGCTCGCCTAAGCCTCAGTCCAAAAGGGGATTATTGTACAGTAAAGTACCTGCGCTGCTATTGTGATCCGAAATCCAGTTGTTGTGCCATTCAGTGCAAAATCCGAATTAATTTTCTTTGTGAAACATCTTCTGACCTCCCAACCTGTTTGTCCTCACAGCATCACCGGGACAAGGAGCACTGATGGATAGGTGTTGTTGCCTCAGATCTGAATGACTCATTAGCTTTGTGACAGCAATTATGTCAACTTTTTCAGGAGCTTGTGCTCCCTTTCCAACCTTTCGAGAGATTAACAGCTGGATGCCAACACAAGGATTAAACGCCTTGTGTTGTGATACTATTTTTGCATTGTTTGTGTTTGTGTGTGTATTGATGGGTGCATGTGAGTAATTCTGTGCTCGAGAATGTGTGCATGAGCATCTCTGTGCATGAATCCAGTCCACCCCTAGTGATCGTCTCAAATTCTGCAGCGCCAAGCTCTTTGTATCAGGATGAATGGGAGGAAGCTTATCCAAACAGGCTCGCCACATGGTCTGCCAACTTGCAGTGTGAGTTTGTCCGCTGATAAGGACAAGCTTTGTTGCAGTGTTCCTGGTGTCACTCAGGAACAGCATTTGATAGGACAAGGCATCGCTCAACCACTGATATCAAACCAGTGTGTGCTGTTTGAAATGGCAGACATGAATTAGAATGAGCCTAATGGATTCACACAAGCTTATCGGGGACAAGGGATGGAGCTGATTTCCCTGATTCCACTTCCTTTCTCACTTAACACGTCCAGAGGGCTATTTGAAGTCACTTGTGTTTGATTTCCCCTCACACTGTTTTGTTGTTGTCTCTTTCATCGGATGCCTTGCAGTGATGGATTGAGTGTCCTGCGTGTCTGAGTCTCCCAAACTTTTTCTTCAGAAGTGGAAGACACCAAAATACAGAACTATATGCGCAAACAAACATAGCATGTGAGCTTCAAGCATGCAGAACAAGGATCAGGCTTCGTTGATCATAGCGAGAGGCACATCATAGATTTTCTGCTGGGAAACATTAAACCTGCGGACAGATCAAAAGGAAGCTGCCCTTCACCTCTGTGTTTATAGAACACATACTGTTGTTGCCTGTGGCTCAGTCGAAAGAGAGAAAAGTCAAGGGAAAATCGGGCTGCTGCAGTTTTCCTTATAGAACTAAGCTACTCCCCGGAGATGTGTGAATGACTTACTGACTTTTCATCCTCGCACATTAAAGCAAAAGTTGCACAGTTCGCAAGATCACATATTTATTTTTTGCATGCCCACCATATGGCAGAGCTCTGCTGTGCATTAGTGACTGCAGGGAGAAGGTGATTAAAAGCAGTGGTGATGTGAAGTTCTCACATATGTTCAGGGGAGATGTAAATCTCTGAATCCAAGAAAAACTATTTCATCGCCTGGGGGGTGGGGGGGGGGTCAGAAAGATAAGAAGAGATAAGAAAGCTTCAGTCTAGTTTTTGTGGTAGTAAGATCATTTATTTTTCATATAGCTCAGATGTTTATGTTAGCGTGTCAGCTCTCTCATTCCCACTTGATTTTGCCTTTTGAGGTTTTTGTATTTGTGAGGTTAATTCAATTTGATGATCTATCATCTATCATTTATCATCCACCGTAACTCCCACTCTTCATCAGGTGTAGTCAGGAATGTCTCTTCAGTAACAATGAACCCAACATAGAAAAATGTATTATCCATCCATCCATCCCTTATCTATACCACTAGTCTTTGAGGAGTGTGGGGGGCTGGAGCAAATCACAGCTGCCTGTAGGCAAGAGGCAGGTTATACACCTTTCACAGGTAGCGACTGTATTTCCTGGAGATAAAGGAAAAGTTTCTGAATTCAGACACGAGGAACAATGATTCTTAGTTGAGACGCTTAAATATGGCACTGGGGCTATGTTCATTCTCTTCAAGCATCCAAAGGAAATGAACTTCGGTAACGCAAACATCACAAGACGGAACTCATGAGAGAAGATTTAGAATATAGGGATATTCAACATCTTGTCCTATATTCTAAATCTTCCCTCAGAATGCAGTAAATATTAAAGTATTAAAGTTATGCACAAGGAGGCAAACCTGATGTTCATATGTCATCAACTCAGACTTTTGTCTTATCATGTAGCCTGAAATCATTTTCTATGTGACAGAACATGTCGGTTGTGATGTATGTTGAATATAAAGATAAATAATAACACTCACACTCACATTCACACCCACAGGAAATTTAGATTCTCCAACTGACCTAACATGCTTTAAATATAGATGCGATTAATTTATGCAAGGCATAGAATAATAAAAGCATTATATACACATTGAAGTAATAAGTTTTGTTCAGCCAATACAGGTACTTGCCATGTTCACATTTTCACTGACTCATTGAGTGGGATAAAACCCCGTAGTTTAACTGTAATGGTGTAAATACAGAACGTGTGTATGTTCATATGTGGTCACATTGGCTCAGATGAACGGCTCTTGAAGTACGAGGACAAAGCCGGCAGCGTGGTGATTTATCGCACAGGGACAATTTGTCTGGATCCACAATAACTTGCTGGAAGTATTAACAGAAATCAAACAAAGCTGCAGTTGCAAAATCTCCACTGCCACAATATGTTTGAGCATACAGACAGTGTCAGCAAAATTACAGTTACACTCTCATAAATTAAAACAAGCCTTTCAATGACGCATTGTAACTGTAACTGCATCTGAGCATTTTTGCCATATGACACTGTAAAGTTTTACATAACTGCAAAATGTAGATGAAATCCAGCCACATACCTGGTAAATTTACATTTATTGTTTTTTTTTCTGTGTTCAGGACATGAACGACTTCTCCCCCATCTTTATTCAAGACCTGTATAAGGGTTTGGTGGCCCCCAATGCAGAGAAAGGAACAGTCATCACAACTGTTTTAGCTGAGGACCAAGACCCACCTGTGAGTATGATCAGAAACACGACACATGCAAGGTATGAAACATCAGTGGTTAACACATGAAGCGTGTCATTAATAAAGGAAGCACTGGGTGATTTTTTTTTTTTTTCACCTTCTCCCTGCATGTTTTTCTCGCAGAACATCAGCTAATTTAGCTGCAGCATTTCACACGATACATTTTAAAGATGTTTCCAACACTTGGCTGCTCTCATTAGAGATATGGTGCCGTGTATATTTCCATTCTGCACCAGTAGTTCTAATTGTGACGGAGTCTTGTTTAGCATCGACTCTTGTATGAGTCATCTACCAGTTGCCTCAGACTCCTTTACCTCACAATATCTGAGCCGGTCCCCCTGGGACTGGAGCTATGAAGATTTTATCTTTTCCTCTTTTTTTCTTTTGGAGTCTGTGAACCGTGGAACAGAATTACACAATGCAGAGGAGAAACTGTGACACTCTATTGAGACTGGAAATTGTGTGATGACGAGGAGGCAACACAGGAGCAATAAACATTTACTGGGGGATTTAGTTCCTTGGTTTTAGTCTGTCAATAATTTCACTATTTATATCCATTAATATTAAGAAAGAACCAGCCTGTGCGTGTGTGGTTCTGTCATTCACCTCAGCTGAACCACTTTCATTGGCAGAGCCACATACCTTTAAAATTTTATTGCACTTGGTGAGTCAGCGGTTTTCTTTCTCATGTGCTATCTTCCTCTTTTTTGTTCTGACAGTTGTTGCCCCTTTTATAGAAATGTCACCAATCTGCCTTTTCACTTCTAATCTTTTCTTCATTTTTGTTTGAATTTTTTATGCAGAACAGGCGAACCCAGTGGCCTCCCTGCATGGCCATAAAATTGTCCAGCTCTTAGCAGGTTTTTCAGGAAATTCATGTATGGCTGGACTCTATGAATTTTATTAGTGACCCACCTGCTGTTAGAACTCTATCAGAGCTGGGTGAGCTCATGGAGTGTGAGTGAGCAAGTGGAACATATCCAGCAGTGTTGTAGCACGAGTAAAAGAAGGAATTCATCTTTATGATAGCAGAAGTGAAAGGAATTCATCTTTACGTCAGCAGTGGCAGCAAGTGAGACATGGAAGTGACTCAGTGCTTTGATGGACACAGGGATTAGGTCTTCTAACAGCAGCCCACTAACCCAGTCTGTTATTGACTGGGATTTGAGAGCTCAAAGCATTTTATCGACAGGCTGTCTGTCATAGAAACCTTCTTTTGGTGGAACAGAGTTTAGTTGTTCATCGCACACATACATTCCCCCTCTCTTTGATACACATGAAACCTGCACACACAAAGGAAGGAGAGGGAAAGACTCACTCTGGCTGATGGTCTTAGTGCAACATTTAAGTATATTTGTGACTGAAGGTAATAATGAAGTAGACCATGGGCTTTATATAAAGATGGATGACACATCTGTACTTCTCACTAACCAGACGTGAAGGCAAAATATCAGAGATATGAATGCTGCCATCTTCCACTCTGCACAGTAGCGAGTAGTTTTTAATAGCATCAAATAAGTAATGAAAAATGAGCACTCACATCAGTGTGATAAAAACTACCTAAAATGACAGAAAGCATATTTAAAGAAAGTGTGTTTATTATGTATTTTTGATACTTTTTATTTTGGTCCATGTCCCATCCACTAACATGGACGGGACATGGACCTGGCTGTACTAAGCTTTGGCAATAAGCTTTGGCTTCACTTTTGGGGAGCCGACATGTCGTTAAACTTCATATACAGTGTTTGGCGTCGACCCTTGCAGCTCATAGCTTGTTTCTTTTACATCTTTTACAAGGTTTGATATCTATCCACTTGTAGGGATTGAAGGGATGAAGGGATTTTAAGGCTTCATTTAGACCTGGAGACCTCAGGTCTGATCACAATAGATCACTGGAGACACATTTAAATACCAGGTTTGGATTAAAAAACTCAGATCTGTCCATGTTTTGATGGGAGAAACGAAATAATGGAAACACATTTTCCAGTAAAGTTGACGAGTTGTCCTTTTTTTTAGATTCCCATGTAAATCAAATCTGTAATAAATTGATTTCAAAGAACAAAATCACCAAATAAGGTTGTGTTTATCAGTTTTTTTTTTCTGTCTTATTCTCTGAGCTCAGGCCGTGTTGTTCTGCCATGTCTCTGAAGCATCAGTTGGAGTTTCGCAATGTGTCTGAGTTTGTTCTTTAATTCATGAGCTGGCGACTTTATACTGTAGACAGCTGTATTCTAATAAATAACTTTTATCAGTCCCACAATGGGAAAAAATGCATTTAAAAATGATGTTTCTTAAAATCTGCATCGAGGTTGCAATTAGTAAAAAAATTTCTGATGCCAACGAGCTGTTTTTGTTGCTCATCTGCAATGTTAATTACACAGTGAGTTCACTCCAACAGTGGACATAAAACATTAATTGTGTGCATGGAATGCCAAATAAGAAGCGTTTTTTCGACAGAGACAGAAAGTGAAATGCTGCTGTAGCTACAGAACATTCAGTACCTGACTCATGTTTTAAAATAAGTCATGAGTCTGGGAGATGCTCCAATGAAAATGTGCAAAAATGAACAAATTACCAATCAATCAATTAAAGATTTTACCAAAATCATGAAACACAGGAGGAAAATATAAATGGCGTACTATGATAAAACATTTTTCTAGTCTTAAAGATCACACAAAGCGATTAACACTGCAATTCCACAAGGACTTGTTGACTTGCATACTTCTGGTTATGCGTCCTGCAAACTAGAGGATTTTGAAATCTTATCCTTAGTGTTATTATCATGAGAATGCTCACAAGTCGAGACGCAGGACCACACAGCTGGCATTTAAACAAACCATTTCTGAGTGGCCATTTCAAAGACTTCGGAACTTGCAGAAACTTTGCAAACGTGACTTCCAACTTGGAGGCAGACTGCCGGCAGGTTTTGGCTAAATCGCCCAATCGCTGTTTGTTTCATAGTCCATGAGCATCTCCAATCCTGAAATCAAAGAAGCTCAAGTTCACTCTTAACTATTATAGGATCATTTGTCCAGATAACTTGTTCGGATCAGCCTTGAGTCAGGCCCATTATCCTCTACTGTGCAGCAGGCTTGAGTGGAGAACCTGCTCTATCTCCTGATATTGTTCGGAAGGCTGCCAGGTTATTAGTGGTTATTATTATTACTATTAGTAAATTATGAGTCTCTAAAATGTTTGTTTTCTACTAAACATTTTCTTTATTGGTTTTCTTTGTTATGGTCCTGATATTCCAGTCTCATTTGATGGATGTGTTTCGAAGGCCAACTAATGACACAAATGGGGAGAGGAAGAACTAGAGGCCAGCCTCTCTCACTAAGTTTTCAAGTCTGTCTATGAGCAAAACACTTGTTACGTTCTCTTCCTTCGTCACTGTAGAGGTTTTGCTTTTCAATCCACTATATTAGATTCTTCTTTGTGTTTTGTTATTAATGGTCTGGTCCTGACATCTTTTCCATTACATGTTTGAAAACAATTTGAAGAGCTTTTAGAAATGATTAGTAACCTCTTAGAGACATATTTGTGTGAGTAAACCTCCCAAGGGATCCGCTGCTACTACAGGATTTACCTCTCTGCTTTAGCCCCAGGTTTTACCTCAGTCCTCGGGGGGCCAAATCAGTTTAGGCAAGGTAGCAGAGCTTAAAAAAGCGTATTAAAAATCAGACTGAATTTTAGGTTCAAAGCGAAGAAACTAGAATAAAATAAGCTATGGAGATGATTAGCAATCAGGAACCATGATTAATCTTAATCAAAGGGTCATGTTAAAGCCCAGGCTCTCACTAATGAATGTAAGTGTGTTGCTCTGGAGACCAGAGGGCTGAGTTAAATGGAGAAGGTTTTTTTTTTATTCCAAATGAAAGGAAGAGGTCTGAGTCGATGAATAACAGTGGGTTTATATTATATTATAATGATACGGATAGACTAATGAGGGCTATGACAAGTTAAGAGTTTTTTCAAATGGAGAGGCGTTTGAGGTTCTTTAGAGAAGAGCAACCTCTTCTGCGGCTCTGTCACATTAACAAACAATGACGTGGAACAAATACACTCATATTCCAACCTCTATGGCGTGAATACATTTTACAGAACATCATTACTGTGACAAACTCCTTTCTCCATCTGCACGGCCTCATCTGATGGAGGGAGAGTTGGTGAATAAGTGGATTGTTCTTGTACTATTGAGTTAGTTTGTGTTCTTCTTTCTCCTTCCTCCAGGGTACCCCGGCCAGCTTTGTCCGCTACAGAGTGGACCAGGACAGGTCGCCGTACAGCGGCAGCATCTTTGATGTGGAAGAGGAATCTGGGAGAGTCATCACTAAGGTCAACCTCAATGAAGAGCCCAGCGTCACCTTCAAGGTGAGTGGCAGCGATTTATGGCGACATCAGATATTACAAGCTGCTGCTGCTGCTGCTGCTTGTAAAGTCAGTCCAAGATATCAGCTGCCTCGTGTCTCAGACAACCTCCGACCTCTGAGTGATCGGATCTCAGGACATTTGGTTCAGACCTGAACTTAACGCTGTCCACTTGTAATTGGATGACTCAGACAGATACTGATATCAGTTTGAAAGAAGTCTTTCGATTTTTACAAAAAGGCAAACTACTGCATTGATTTGAATAAATAATTATGATGACAAATGATGAGGATAATCATTTATCATTCATTTTAAGTAGTCTGATGTTTTTTAACGTGCATGTTATTTCTACATCCACTTGTATTGATTTTACATCGTTCAGTCAGTGTTTGCTTCTCTGCCTCTCTTGTTTTGCAGCAGGTCAGAAATATCTACAAATTGACTCTAAAATTGAATTATAATGTGTTTCCTGACTTGTGTCTGTCTCAGTGATCATGTCATCGCTGCGTTTGTGTCTGAGACCACCAGTGATATTGAGTTTTCTTATAGATTAAACAAATGCCCTCCCCAGGCGCTCGTATAATGTCACATTACCAACTTAAGGTGACCTTGCGTAGCTGCATCTGTGGTTGTGAGCGCTGGAGCAGGTGCTGCAGGATATTTGGTCCTAATGAGGATGTTGTCACTAACGCTCCCATGCTGTCTGTCTACCTGCAGCCCCCTTTTTATTCCTCCTCCTCCTCTTCCTCTGTTTCTTTCAACATTTGTCAGTTTTTATTCTCTTTCTGCCCATCGCTCCCTCTCTGTCACCTCGCTCCCCCGCTGTTTCCCGCAGGCCCCGTTCTCCACAGTCTGTGAATGTAAATCAATACATACTCGTTCTCTGGGAGCTTCGCGGGCTCCTCGCCAGATCCCATTTTGCCAGGCTGTCTTTATTAGGATGCTGAGCATGTCTACAAAGAAATGCCTGGCAAATTCATAAAATAAATTATTTGTGCAGTGAGTTTTATTGGGGGAGAAATTAAATAGTTTTGAGACTTCATTTGTATATTGTCTGTGTGTGTTGTGTTTCGCCCTCTCAGTTGTTTGTGATAGCCTTCGATGATGGGGAGCCGGTGAAGACGAACAGCACGTTGGTGGAGATCACCGTCCTCCAGCCTTCTCGCATCCCAATCTTCACCCAGGAAGAATATAAGTAAGTCTCCTTGAGTATGGATGCAGCTGCCTCTGCCTGTATATTTATACACCCAAGAGCAATTTAGGCTGTAGTCCCAGACACAGAGAAAGTGGAAGAGGCTGGAGGAAGTCGATAAGGTATCATAAAAACACCTTGACGCCCATTTAAAGCTGTAGCCGCATCTTCATTTCAACTTTTCAATTTTATATTTACTTTAATATTACCGTTTTGAGCTGCTGCATGTGGTTGTTCCAAATAATTTTATATATTTTTGTCATAACACTCAACACACAGTGAAGTGGCCCCAGTTGCGTTTCTGTTTCTCCATCTTTGTCATGCTCTCTTTTCTGTGCATGACTGATTAATGAGTGTTGAGTATAAATATGTATAAGAGCTTCAGAGTAGATGTTGCAGATCATCACTGCTGTAAACCACAGTTGTTTCTCTCTGAGGGCAAAGCCAGGCTTCGCTCCGAGTTTATTAAGAGTCTCTTTTGACTAGATTAAGTGTTTAGACTGTTAAACCTGGAGCGAGAGAGAGAGAGGGAGATGCAGGATGAGAGAGGATAATCCATACGGCTCGGAGATGACTGACTGCTACACGTGGGATATACAGCTGTACTGGGTCAGTGTTGGGTGGAGTTTGTCTGCACTGATGTTGCTGTGATTCAGGAGGAGGCCAAGAAGTCATCTATAATTAAAAGTAAACATGGATTATTAATGCTCTAGCTGAAGCTGCTTTGAAAGATCCTCCATGATTAGTGAGTACAAGCATTAAAACGATCTGTTGTGTTGTGCTGCAGTCGGTACCTGTCTGCTGTGTTCAGGAGATTTTCACGAGACTCTTAAAGCTTTAAAGTCAGTGTCACCTGGCACGATATGAGTACTGAGGCCACTTAAAGGGAAAAAATATATACGAGACAATTACATTATAATATCAGAATCAAGTCTTGATTTTAAGAGAAGAGAATCATAATAAACAAGTCTTAATGTTACAAGATTGAAGTAATATTGTTACGGAATAATAATTTGAGATCCTGAGAATTAAGTTGTAATATGATATAAAAAAGTAATTATGTGATGAGAACAAAAATCATAATTTTGGGAAAAGGAAAATCACAGTAAAAAGTCAGAATATTGCAAGAATAAGGTGTAATATAACAAAAACACCTGTATGTGTTGTGAATGCATCTGTCCCGGACACTCTCCTGCTGCATTCTTTATATGTGAAAGGCAAACTGCTGAAAAAGTCCTGACCCAAATTTTCACACATTTTACGGATTTCGCTTCTGAAAACTGCTTTTGTGTATTGTGTCATCTGGATAAGTGTGTGTGCATTGAAGGTATCCTTTCCTGACAGTTGTTAATCCAGCACTTTGTGAATGTGTTCACGTTCTCTTGTCACTCAGCTTTACTCTGTGATTGATACACAGGCACGGCAGCATCACCCTTAAAAGGCTGTTGATTAATGCTTTGAATGAGTGCTCTGTCTGATGCGCACACGGAAGGTTGAGACTATCGGCGCAGGCCTCTGTGGAGTGTCACACTGACAATGCTAACCATACACAGCGGCGGGCCTCGTGTAAATTATGAGCCATGGAAGCATTAACCAGGTGCTCCACCCTCTCCAGCTGGACAAGGTTCTCTCCAGCAGAGAGCGTCCAATCTGCTCCTTCTGCGATCAACTGTCCCTTCATTCCACGCCGCTCTATCGCTCCCCATTGTCGTCTCCCAGAGGAACCTCCAGACACAAATCATTCTCTAAACGTCCACAGAAGATCTCGTCTGTCTCTGTGTAGGCAGTTAGAGCTGTGCCTACAGCTCCAGCTCACACAATTAAAACAACTCTGCAGGGCTTTGGCAGACTTAATGATTTCTGCTCCTGCTTTATGGTTGGTCCCCTCCATCTGTCAGAGGGAAATGAGGGGCTCCCAGTCATTTTTGGCTAAAATAGATGACTCGTGCCGCAGTCGACTGTAGCAGCATGCTGCCACTTAGGTTTCACATGGTTCGAGCAAAACACTTTGTGTTGTCTCTGTGGAAGTGCTGTTGTTATTCACTTATTTCACAATTGTCTTGATGACCCAATCAGATTTCTATTACTTTTTAACTTGCAATGAGGAATATTGTTTGTTTTATTACCGAAGCAGATGACTCAAAGTGCTCAATCTATACAAAACTATGGCATTCAGTAGAGTGAATGACTCCACCAAGGCCAGACATTTTCTTTCTCTAGATCTGCACTAAACAAGGTGCAGGTACATGTAGCAGGAGATGCCCCGTGATTTTTTTACTGTGCAGCTTTTATTAGCTGTATCGGGCTCAGGTTGGGTTCAGACAGAAAAACACAAAGCCTGGCAGGTTCAGTTCGGGCTCGGTTACTTTCCTCTCAGGCTCAGATGGTTTTGGACAGAACAATGTGGCCTGAGCTGCTCTCTATTCTTTACAACACTGGTATCCACTGAACCGTTTCACCGCTCCTCCAGCTTTACGTGTCATCCAAAGACACAGTAGAGCAGGAGGATCAGTCAGACTTATGATGTGTCTTCTCACTTGTTTTTCTTGATGTAATGTAGTTTAAAGACCAGACATATAGTCTGTTAGTTGTCTTGGAGAAAGATTGTGTATTCCTGCGGCAGTAGGTCTGCACCTATGGCAGAAATTGAATATAGAATAATCTTCATGATGTTTTCACTAGTTCGTTTCATCTAAATCGTATTAATTGTAGTTTTCTTTACCCCCGAAAAGGCTCATTATATTAAAATTCTTTATATTTACACAGAGGGGGTCCTCGCTACGGAGGCCGCAATGTTTTTTACATTAGTTCAGACGTGACAACCTAAACAACTTTTGAGTTTTTATGACAACTGAAGGCCACAAGGGTTGGGGGGGGGGGGGGGGCTACAGCCTATAACCAGACAGTTGCATCAACAATTCAACTCTGATCTGTTGCCTGTTGATCAAGTTGAAGTTTCATCTCTGGCCAGGTGACAAGTGATTGACTCGGTAATCCTCTTGTGTCGACACCTTCATAGGAAGGATTTTCTCGTATTTTTCAGGGCTTCATCTTGGTATAGCTACATCATGCTGCTGCAACTATATAGTAAAACTTTTGCAAAGCACCTATGTGCTTTTTCACCACTGTCTTTTTTCCCTCCAAAGCTTTTTCCTCCATCTTTATATTTATCTGTCTCTCCCACACACGCTGGGTTTCTGCTTCTGCCCTCTCAGTCCTCTGTTCCTTTGTGTGCACTGTTGTCAAGTGAAATCATGTGTTGATACGATGTAGGGAAAAATATGCAGCATGCGATTTTATGTTTTAGACAGATCTGTCTGATATTCATATGTACTATATAGTATAGGATTGCAGTCATACATAGATAAAAATGCATAAATGTGAAATATATATGATTAATCACACAGCCTGCAGCATAATGTAACTTAAAACAGCTTAAAGCTCATTTATTTTAATTTCCTTTTCTTGGGTTTGTTTTTAATTTCATATTAATGTTTTTTTTATTATTATTATTTTATTATTATTAATAATAATTATAGTTAATGTGTATGAACATAACATTTTGGAAAGATTTCGGTGGAAATAAAATAGGATCCTTATTGTTAAACCACTGTGAATGGCTCTTTTACATGGAACTCACGAACACAAGCCTTCGGCAAAGTCTTTAGCGCTGGGCACTGGGAAGGGAATTATTTCCCCCTGGGTGTGTGGCCGCGGAGGAGGAGGGGTAAGCTGCTATCTAACATGGTCCTTCGACGTGAATCCCCCCTCTCTCGTACTGAGGGTATACTTCTCTGGCCCAGCGCTGGAAACCTGTGGTCTGAGCAGTTTTTCTGTGCCGCTTATCTCCACCACAGCACTTCCCCTTCTAAATCTACTCTAAATCACATGAGACTTTTGCCTCAGTGCTCCTGAGTATGTCGTTTTCCTTTCCTCCTTCTACTCCTGCTCCTCTCAGTCCCCTGAAGCCCCCACTCATTCCCCCTGAGTTTTTTTCCCTCTCTGCTTATGTCGCTCTCTGTCAGTTTCTCTCTCACTTTGTCTTCCCTTTGCTTATCTCCTCGCTTAACAGTCACTATAGCCATTCATTTCCTCTCTAGCGAGGGGCTGAGTCTGTCTATGTGGGATTGTGGGATTCTGCGATAGACTTCTGATAGACATTTAGAGTGCTTGTTCCCTCTGAAGCATATTTCCACACTTGCCTGATTGAAGGGAATATCATCTGGGAGTGAAATGTCACACTATCGTTTAATTCTTCTAGAGCGACAAATTAGAAAGCAGATGTTGTGCCGTACCTGTCTCATGAAAACATAGTCACGCAATCCTGAGAAGAGTACTACAGCTCGTTATTGAGCGATGCTCTTAGTTATAATGTTTACATAGTAAACAGTGCTGATGACGACTTTGAATACATCATGTTGTCACTATGTGCTTGGCGACCCCCTGTAATTGCACAATTAGTGACAGTATGCTAAAACTCACACATTATGTTTGCTGCTAGATGTATAGTTTGTTCAGACAATATGCAGAGCCCTGAAGGATGAGAAACGTACACTTCAGGTATAAACATAAAAATATTGCATACACTACTTCTTTAAGGCGCCTTTTTTTATTGAATTGACATACAACTTTCCTCCATTGGACATTTTCACTCTGACCATTGATGTAAATGTCAGTGGTAACAGCTCAGACTGTGTAATATAGCACAACATCTCTTTTCTGCAATTTCTTGGCATTTATAGACCATCAAGACATCCTGTGTAAATTATCTGTAGTTATCTGACCAGTGTGACCACTGATTTAATGTTCTCAGTTGGAATCTCAAATGACTGCAGAAAGCCTGGAGTTGAAGGATGTCCTATATATTAAATCCAGCCACTGTGGACTCCATGCACAACCAGTGTCCACAAATTAGTCGTTAAACTAAAGAAAGAAATGTATTCCATGAAGCCATCGCTGCTTGTTTTTAGAGGAATAGAGCGGCTCAGCTCTGTTCCCTCCAT